ACCTTCACCCCCTTCCTGTCTCTTTAAGTGGAGGCGGGGCCTCTCCAGCTCCCCACGTCGACCGCCCCCCCCGCCGCCATTGGCTGGCGGCGAGGCCGGGGTTCCCGGATGCGGCCGCGCGGTGCGGTTATAAAGGGCCGGGGGAAGGCGGGAGTGGGCGCAGTTTGAATCGCGGCGGGTCGGGATAGGTCGGTGCTGTCGACCGGCTCGGTGCGTGCGGGACGCTCTTTGCTTCAGCCTTCCCCTGCGTGACACTGCGCTCCGGTTCGCTATGGTGAGGAACCACGGGAGCCTCTCGGGGCGCGGGCGGCGGTGGCTGGGGCCGGGGCGGCTCCGTGCAGCCGATACCGTGGGGGGAACGCGTGCGGGCTTAGCTGGGGGAGGGCGGAGGCGATTGGGGGTGCGGGGAGGGGGGATGGGGTTGGTGGCACGGGCAGCGGCGCCCCGGGGACGGGGAGCGGTGGCCGCGCATGCGCGTTTTGAGCGGCCTGTGCCGCGCGGTGCGGTGGGCGGTGCGCACGCGCCTCGCAGCTGCGCGTGCCGCTCTGCGCGGGGGGGGAGGGGGTGGGCGCGGGACGCATGCGCGATGGGGGACGTCAATTCCTGCTCTTTTCCTGGCGTTTCCAGGCTGGTGGGAAAGCTGGGAAGGACTCCGGGAAGACCAAGACCAAAGCAGTGTCCCGTTCCCAAAGGGCTGGATTGCAGGTGAGTAGGGGCTGGGATATGGGTTTGTGAAAGTCAGTCTAGCTTTCCATCTGTTGATTTGTTTGTACAGGGCGAAAGCTTCACGCTCTGCTGTCTGGCTGCTGTCTGGAATGATGTAAGGATCATAAACCGGACGTTAGCACATCCAACCGGTTTTAGACCTTTATCTAAATCCGTGCAGGGAGGAAAGTAATTCCCTTTTGGCCCTTGCTACTACTTGTACTTAAAATCGTGAAAGTTGCTGATATGAGTGTGGCATGCAGTGTATTACATGGATTCTCAAGTTTTGGGATGCAGCCCTTGCTTATGCCACTGGGATTCCGCTGCCCAGGATGTGGTTTTGCATAGAGGCTTTCTATTTTCATAGCCTGTTCATGCTTTTGTTATTTTCCAGTTCCCTGTTGGCCGCATCCATAGGCACCTGAAGTCTAGGACAACCAGCCATGGGCGTGTAGGAGCCACAGCTGCTGTGTATAGTGCTGCAATCCTGGAGTACCTGACAGCTGAGGTAAAATGCCTGCAAGGGTGCAAGCAAGTTGGTGAACCCCTGAAAGGCATAATGACCAGTGCCTACTCTATTTGAACAGTTTGTACTTGGTTGTTAACTCTTTGTGTGCTTTGAGACACTTTTAAGTGCATACTTCAGCAGAAGACTGTGAAATACAAGTTCTCTGCGTTTCATGTAAATCCCGCAGTGTGACTTGTAGGAAAAATGCAGTGTGTGAAGTAACTTCATAAATGGGCAATTACAGCACGTCATATTTACTGTAGAACAGTTACTCTGTCATTGGGAAAACTAAATGCAGAGCTCCAAAGGAGGACTCCCTTTAAAAGAGACATTGTTTGCCCTCTTGGTGTCACTGACAAGTGACACTGTGTGGAATAGAGAATTAAACAGCTAAGACTGTGCTATTGGTCTCATTGGTTGTGTAACCATTGAAAAATGGTCTTGTTTCAGGTCCTTGAGCTGGCGGGAAATGCATCCAAAGACTTGAAGGTGAAACGTATCACTCCTCGTCACCTGCAGCTTGCCATTAGAGGAGATGAAGAGTTGGATTCTCTGATTAAGGCAACAATTGCTGGTGGTGGTACGTCAATTGCTTGTTCTCTTGGGGTACTTGGGTGGCATGAACTGTCACAGACTTGAAGTTCCTTAGTGTTGTCATTTTACCTAAAGTATGAAATTTAGGAAAATCATTGAAGAGAAATAACATGGTCTTAACTGTTGTTCTTTCTTAGGTGTAATACCACATATCCACAAGTCCCTCATTGGCAAGAAAGGACAACAGAAGACTGTCTAAAGGATACCAGAATTCCTTGTTATCTCAGGACTCGAAGTACTTAATTGTCCGGTGTTGGTGATTCCAGTGGACTGTATCTGTGAAACACAATTTTGCCTTTTTTTAACTTTTGAGAAGCTAAAGCTCCCTTGAGCTTTCTAACAAACCAAATTTCTGCATTGGAGTCTTAACCATATTTAAGTGTTACCATGGCTTCAAAGAAGCTATTGTGTTTGTAGTGGGTTGTAATTGAGCTGACTGTTTCTGGATTGGTTTAAGTAAAGGAAATGTTTGGTTTTGTACAGACTTTTCATCTATTAGAGTGGAAATACTCAATAAATGTTATGTCAAGACTGATTTGTCTCTTTTTCCATTAGCCGGAAAATGTTTCCACTGTGCAGCTCTTAGGGTTGTTCAAGGGCCTGTAACTGACAACCCTTCCTGAAATACAGGAAATCTTGAAATATAGCCTGAGAATACTGCAGTTAGCAAATACCATATAGTGAAAGGGCCCAGGGCTTGTCCTGTAAAGTTACGTTCTTCCTAACTGAACCTGCTGTGTCATGTGCTGGGCTGATGAAAGGCTGATGTTACTTAAGGCCAGTTTTACTCACTGTCAACCATAGAGGGAAAGGGTCTGTATTGAAGGAGGGTATATGATAAGATGAAGGGGTGTTGAAATTCCATGCTTCACATAATTTTTTGCTAGAGCCTGGCCCCCTGTTATGTTTCAGCTTGCAAAAGCTTTGGACAGACAGCCATGAAAGCAGGGACTTGTAGTGCAGCAGCCTTTAAATTCTGCCATGCAGTAGAATCCTCAGCAGCAGTGGATTAGAGGGAGGTCTGGGCACACCTTCAGCTGTCCCCCACTGAGCCGGTTCATTTCCTACAGCAAAGCCCTGCCTGTTGTGATAGGAATGGTTACTGTGTGTGGCTGGGGATAGCAAGCAAGCTCCCTGTCTTCCAGAACTGCAGTCAGCAGTGAAACACTGCAAATAGAGATTCTGCTTCTGAGAACAGGCTCTTGTGTTTCCCTCAACTCTTGCAGGCAATAATCTCTGCTGCAGCACTGTAGCTGGAAGGCGGTGACCTAGATCGGAGACGCGGGTGAGACCTGTGCTGACTGCACTCTGGCGCTGCGGTGCTTCCCTGGAATAGTACCCGAATGTTTCCTTCGCAGCAAAGCAGTCCTTGCCTGGCTGTAATTGCTGTCATTAATTACAATAAGCCGTTACGAGGTGCTAATGAGTACCTTAAAGCATAGTCAGGCAATGACAGTGGCACCGCGCGGGCTCCTCTCACTTCTGTGCGGAGCCGCAGTGCTGCGGCAGCGCGCACGGTACTTTTCCATGGCAGCCGGCTCCTCTCGCCTCTGGGCGTGCGGGCGGCCTCTCTCCCGGCCGGGACGATTCCCAGCGCCCCCGGCCCCTCCAGCCGCTCCAGGCCGGGCAGCGGCGGAGCCCCGGGCGGGGCGGGGCGGCGCATGCGCGGCGGGGCCCGGAAGGGGCGGCCGGGCTGGCGCCGGTGCGAGCGCCGCGCTGGGGCTGCGGCAGCGCCGGGGCAGCGGCGGGATGAGCCCTGCGGAGTGAGCGCAGCCCCGCCTGACGCCCCGCGCCGCTCTCGGCGCCTCCGCCCCGTCCGCCTCCGCTCTGGCTTCGGGCCCCTTCTCTCTGCGCTGCGGCGGGCGGAGGCGGCGGAAGGAGAAGCCCATGGAGGGGAACCGGGACGAGGCCGAGAAGTGCATCGGGATCGCGCGGGAGGCGCTGGAGGCCGGGAACCGCGACCGCGCCCTCCGCTTCCTGGGCAAGGCGCAGAAGCTCTACCCGACCGACACGGCCCGAGGTGAAGCCCGGCCCCCTCCCCGCTCCCGCTGCCCGCGGCCCGGTTCCTCGGGACGAGCCCGGAGCGACCGCGGGGCCCGCAGGAGGGCGGGCGCAGGGGGGGCCTCCCCCGGGGGGCCCTGCAGGATGAGGCGAGCGGGAGCCGGCCCCAGAGGCAGCCCGGGGGCTGTGGCGGGGCGCGCGGCTCGGCTGGGAAAGGAGGCCGGAGTGTGTGCCCAGGAGCAGCGCTCAGGGCAGGTGCCTTCCCCCCGCCAGTGCATGACTCTGGCGTCAGGCGCTGCGGAGGAGTGGGTTTACCTCCCCCGGTGCCAGCGGGGATGTCCCAGGGCCGACCCAGCTCCTCGCCTGCATTCCTCCTCCTCCCTACAGCCATCAGTAAAAGCGCAGCCATACAGACGAGGCTTAGCCCCGATTAACATTAGGACATCGCAGGCCCCAGGCCGAGACAGGCTGGGTTGGCTTCTTTTCTGTCACTGTGAATCACCTCTCACTAACAGCTTGCAATGAGAGCTGCAGCTTCAGAGTGGACCGTGTCTTCGTTCTCTGATATACTTGTGGTTTGGGTTTTCTTGGGTTTGGTTCCCTTTTGGTTGTACAGCAGCCACATAGGAATTGCACACGGGTTTACCTTTCCTAGAGAAAATGGAATATGTGGCTCCCTGCCAAGACTTAATTAGCTCTTCTGACTGTTTTGTGCTAAAAACTTGAAAAATATTTAGCAGCCTTTTAGCAAAAGGTGTTTAAAAATAATTATTTAAAAGGAACAGTAGTAAGGTTTCAGTGTATGTAAAACTGTTACATGTCTTGGAGCCTTTCTGTCACACAGTGCCAGAAGTCAGCTTAAAACACCTTTGGACACAGCAGGGACTTGTTGCGTCCCTCTGGTTCTCACTTACGTGGTCTCTGCTGTGGAAGGAGTAGGAGCAACTTCAGTGCCCTGTACCATTTAAAGGCCTCAGCACTTGCCATTTCTGCAGTGTAAGTTTGAGGCAAAATCTTGACTGGAAGTTGCTGTGAGGAGATGCAATGAACATTTTTGGGCACCTTAATCTCCTGACTTCTTATATGCAAACAATAAATGAAGATTTCACTGGCACTTTTTTTAATTAGTTTTTAATTTTCAAGTGTTTTGTTTTTTTCTCCTGCAAGAGCATGGATGTTGCCATATTCCCCTAAAATTCTGTGGCTTGAGAATATGACATGCATGAAAATACTTTGAGCTTTTTGGAATCTGTGTTGGTCAGGAGGCAGAGGATTTCCTTTCAGGTTTTTCCACAAAGGAGAGCAAATAGCTTAGTATGCTTCCCTCCGATTGTTATCATCTTCTGTCTCAAAGACAAGAGTTAGAATAGCTTTCAGTGAAAAAAAAAAACAAACTTCATCTGACTTGTTTTGAGCATTGGGGTTTGTTTGTTTTTTTTTAAAGTAGGACTGCCAGTACATAACCACCCTTATAAAGTATTCAGTGCAAGAAATAGATGGCTAATTAGGTTATTGTCTGTAGGACACTTGTTTTATTCACTGTGGAAATTAGCAAAGTCAGTCACAAATGAGGCACAGACTTGGGGGAAAAGAAGATGGCCTTGTGGTAGTGGGCTGTAATCTGGAGAATTGAGTCTTTTAAACTAAAAGCTTCACAGAATTTCTCTGTGATATTTAATAAGTCAGTTCACTCAGTTTCCATTAGTGACCAGCTAATTGTTTGTGCTTCATTTTTCAGGTATTCAGCTTGAAAGAAGGGCCTGATTTGTGGAACTGGTGGGCAGTTAAAGCTCCATCTGAAGCTAAAGAGAATTGCAGATGCCCTAATACCACTGAAAAAGTTCAGGCCCTAGGCCTGATTTGAACTAGGTACTTAGAAATTAGGGGACTCTGTAAACTTGTAATATCTCTGTGCTTCAGTTTTCTAGATGTGGAGGTTGTTAAATCTTTTAAACTCATCTCATTTCCTCCCCAAATAACACAAACTCATTAAATTTATTTTGGTTTTAAAGTTTGAGGCACCTAAATGGCCCTCATAAAAGTGCAGTAAGGTGCAAGGACACAGACTGTCTTTTTTTCAGGAAAGGTTCTAGAAGGGGTGCAGTAAATCACATCTGACATTTTACACTAAGAACAAATTAAACTGCTCTCATTGGCATCTTTTAGTGGGGGGTCCACTTGAAGAAAAAAATCCAACCCATGATTCTTAATTTAGGTAATCAAAAATGTGTCACAGCACATACCAGAGAGAAAGAAGCAGTCAAGGTTTTGTGAGCCCATTTAGTTCTGACACAAATTCTGATTTTACAGTCATAAAGTCTTTGGTTTATATGGTGCTAGGACAATGTGGTGCAGCCCCAGTAGTCACTCTGCTCACTTATTTTTCTCTGGAGTGTGGGTTAGAAGGTAGTTGAACTAATTTCTCACTGAAGTTGCAGAGTCTTTATACTTTGTACCTTTAGGATCGTTTTGAGAACAATTGCCCACCATTTCACAAATGAAGTTCTATCAGTCATGAAAGCAAAGAGAATGGTAATGCTGAATGTTTTACTGGTGGGAGCTTCTTCCTCCTGATGTTATAGTGGATTACAAAAGGACAGAGAATAGGTTTTAACGATTGTCTCTAAAACAATACTATGTGTGATCTGCTTTTGGCAACATTTACATTTAAAGGGCATTCAGCACTAGTTCAGTCATCAGTGAAGTTTAGTTTTGCTAAACAAAGCTTCTGCCTGAAATACGCTGACTGCAGCAGTGCTATTTTAAGGCTTTAGTGTGAAATGTAAGGTCAGTGCTTATTTAATGATACTGAGCTAATGACTTCATAGTAGCAGTGTCCATGTTGACGTCATTCTTTGCTAGAAAATTGTTCTACGCTTCAGCCGTTCAAAAAATAGTTTGATTTTGATTTTTGCTAATGATTCATCTTGCAACTGAACAGAACCCAATCACTCATCTGGAAAACATTTTTAAGAGTGGTTTTAAGGATAACAAAGGACAAAATGTCCCTTTCAAACTTAGGTGCCTTTCAAACATTAGCGGCCATTTTTAGGAAGAAAATGATATTAAAAAAAATTTATTTTTCAGTGCTTCTTAAGATTTTCTTGCCCCATTTCTGATGCTGCCTCTAAAAACAAATTTTCTTGGAACATGTCAGCTTAATTTTTAGGCTGTTGCATTAGGACAAATTCTGAATTAAACAGAATTCTTTCATTAGTGAAAGTGGGAGGGTGGGAGGGAGCAGAGGGGTCATTTTCAATGCATAATGGAATCAAATGTAGTCCAAAAGATCTTTCATTCAACAGCAGGTAATAGTACACACAAGAGATGCTTCAGACACATTCAAAGATAAGAATCGTTGTCTTACCTGTTAACAAAATAAGTCTTTGGTTCCCTGTATGCCCTATTTCTAAGTACTAGATGTACACTGAAAGTTTTCTTTAATGCATTGTTAGTGCTGCAATTCTAACAGCTGGTTTTACCACCAGCAAGAGTCAGTTTTTTCTGAATATCTGAACTGTATCTTTTATTTAAAGGAAACAATGGCCCCATACCCTTTGTGTGGTTTTCTTTTTCACTGTAGGACAATAGCATGTTTGTTTGTATGTGCTGTGTCCTGCTATTTTAAGAAGTTCACTTTGATATATTTGAATTTTACTATTTTTAAGCATCCTGCATTGTATTTTCAGCAGTGCAGCACCGTTATGAGGTCTGAGAAGGGGATTAGAAAATAGTAGTGTTTAAGGTGTACTGCAGCCAAACCTCGTCATTAAGAGACTTGGAGCCACACTTGCTTTGAAGAAACACTGGGTGTTAAAAATGCAAACCATCACCCATGCCTGCGTTTCTTCCATTTCTGCTCCCACAGGTTCTGCATAAATGTTGGTGCAGGGATGAGAAATTTCTAGAGCAATTCCAGTATAAAAGGAGAAAATGCAAAACTTTGAGTAAGCATTCTTTCAAGAAGGTCACATGTTCAATAGGATTCTGTGTGATGCCACTGTTAAATGTCATACTCACTGGATAGAAAAATAATCAGGTTTTTGTTTTGTTTTCTGATAGCACTTTGGAGCACATTTGGACTGAAATGCTTCATTCTGAGGGCACTGTCTGTTCAAAGCTCTGTTCCTGATTAGTTCTTAGCCTGCAGACCTGGTCACCTCATTGGAGTTGTTACTACTTTATTTACCTCGGAACATCATATGCCACAATAGAGGATAGTAGAATAAAGTATTGCAAATATTGACTGTGTCCTTCAGTTATAATCCATAATGCAACTGTAGCTCTCCTTTTTCCGAGCTCCAGATTTCAATTATAATGAAAGCATCCCCCTCTGTTACAACTAGAAATCTAAAGCTTAGTTAATTCCTTATATCTGCTGTAAAGATCCTGATCTGATCAGTCAATGAGCCTTGCTGAGGCACGTGGAGGGCAGGACTAGCTCTGAAGTCAGCTGACTTTCTTGTTCAGACTGAGTGTAGCTATTCATTTATAAGTGAATGTAAAAGTAAACTCTGGGGAGCTTTTAAGAAGTGGTGGCTCTCCTTTTCAACAAAGCTTCACTTTCTTTTCTTCCTGTGATATACAGGCTATGATGTGTAGGAGCCATATTTCCTGCTGCTCTAAGAAAGACCATGCTAGCCAGAGGAGAATTTTTTTTTTTCATTTAGAAGAAAAATCTTAAGGATTCTTCCCACTGGCTTTCTAGAAGAAAGTGCTGTGCTTTCACAGTGCATGGAACATTTTTCCTTACCAGTTTTTATTAGTGCATTTTTAATGGAGATAGTAACTCATTTTCTTTATGAAACAAATTTAGCCTATGTAGTTTGCCATGTTGCTCTGAAGGAATCTGTTTTCAGGAAAGGTGGACTATTTAATAATCCTTGATCTATATTATACTTTGTGTGCAGTCCCTTATGTTAGAATGGTATTGTTTCTGATTCATTGCTAAGACAGATACCCCTAAAATACAGGCTTATGTACAGAAAGAAAAAACAGACTTTGTGTATAATGTTTATTAAAGCTGCTAAATTTGAGATCTGCCAGAACATGGAATGAAAGAGGATTTTAAGAACTAGCAGAAGCCAACCGGTTTTCAAGATTCAGGTCTTGAGTTGAGTGTACTTGGCTGGTCCTGAGTGTTTTTTGTGGCATTGTAACAGTGGTTTGAATTTCAGCTGATATTGTCTGGAAGGTATAGAGCATCAGTTTGTGGCCACTAATGACTCAGGTTACAGGTAGATATGTACTGTAGGAACTGAAATGTGCTGTAGATGGGCTTGATATCTGTGAGGAATAATTTGCAGTTTCTATAGAATGTTAGTTCCTCTTCAGTTTATAGTTGCTTATTTGGTTGTTCAGATGTTTTTCACCCCAAGGCACAAGTTTAGTGCCTCTAAAAAGCATCTAGAAATGAAGCAGCTGGATAAATTCTCTCCAGTGTTACGTTACCTTGGCAGAGATGGATGGGAGGAGTCCAGTCACTAATTTTGAAACACCTTTCCATAGTTTTGCCAGAAAAAGGAATTGTTATACTGACTGCAGAAACATTTGTGGCACAAAAGGGTGATTAATAAGGAAGGAGGATGTAGCAGCTAGTCTTGGAATCTGGTGCTCTCATCTAAGATGCTTGAGAGCCCTGGCTTAATCACTAATACCTGTAATGAGACCATGATATACTGTTGTTTTTATAGTTTTGTTGGAAGCTATTATGAAGAATGGAAGTACTGCTGGGGGAGGCGCTTACTGCCGAAAATCAGCCAGTAGCAGTGATCAAAGTAAGCCCAATAGCACGAAGGAGGGCAATGCATCTGCTGCAGGTGAAAGTGGAAAAGGCTACAACAAAGAACAAATGGAAGGAGTATTAAGGTATGGCTTAAATATGTCACTGCTTTTCATTCTGTGTATTATGTACTCGTCCTTTCAACTCTTACCATTTAAAGGAGCCACAGGAAGTTTGAATTTTACTCAGAAGGGTTACTTGTACTGAACTTGGACTAGAAGGAAGAGGAGAGTTTTGCTGGTTTTAAACACTGAATGAGACACTGTCGCTTTCTGCAAGAAAGATGCTACTCCTTTCTTCAAACTATCAAGGCTACTTTATGGAAGAATAATACTCCAAATAATTATTGAGTAGATCTCATGATAAATAGGAAAAGTGGTGAAAATTCTGTTGTACAACTTGCAGGACAGTGTTTCTATTCAATATTTTTATTCTAAAGATACATGCTCACTCCTAAAGTTTATTTTCAAGCTAATCTTGCTGTACAGGCAAGTGTTAGAATTGTTTCTAACAAATTGTTAGAATTTGTGTAGAAAAAGCGTTAGACAAGTGTTAAAATTATTTTGGTTTGGACATAAAGGCACCTGAGCAACTTAATCTGGAGGACATAGTCTGAGTTGCAGTATAAATTCTGCTTAGCGCAGCTTGATAGTATTAAGATGAGGTGACATCAGGAAAGGATGTGTGCAAAGAAACAAAGGTCAATAAAAATGTCATTTTGAGGCAAGTAACTCAAGTCATGTTATCACTGCACACTTGCTGGCTGTAGGAGCAAGAAAATTACTGTTTGATATGTGCCCAGGTTTCTGCTAAAGAACTATGGATATAGTGAAGAAATTGCACACCTCAAACCCTGTTAATTTTCAGATAAGCCTAGCCCAAGTATTTTCAAGGGAGCTTTAAGGGAAATCAAGAGTTCCCTATCTCCTAGTTTGTGTATATTGGATGAACTGTTGTGCATAACAGAAATTTGTGGGGGATTTTTTTTTGTGTGCATCTGTGAAATGTATGTTACTGCTGATACTATCTTGGGATCTTCCTAAAGTTCAATAATCTGTTCAGCTGTGCTAACAGTGAGGAAAGAAGTTGAAGTTGTATCAACAAAGTTTGGTTGATACAGAAGCCCTGCATTCAGGCAGGTAGAAACCAGCAGCTCTCACATGGTTATTCTCTTGGTGTCATTTACTAGAGCTTTTCATTTACCATCTTCTCCACTTAATTTATGTTACTGTCCTTTGTGATACATCTAAAGTAAAACCTGGACAAGCCTGTATGTTTTTTGCTATCTTATATCAACTGTTAAAATGAATGTAGAATGTGTCTGTGTACACACGTGTGTGAGACAAAATATCCAGAAAAAAGTCCTCTGTAAATGCGGCTTAGGTCAAAATAAGGTATGTAACATACTCCTAGAAAGCTGCTGCAAGGGGAGCTGTATTGGTGCCAGCAGTCACTCACCTGTGATGTGCCATTCTGAGCTGCAATCTTCTTTGACATCAGGATCCCTGCAAGATCTGTTTGCTTATTTGTTTGTTTTAGCAAAAGGTATGTTGCCTACTTTGTTTTGAGTTCAGTGGTACTATAGAGCTAGCTTTTTCTCTGGTAGGCTTTTGTGGTATTGAGTATTGCTTTCTTGAAGGGATTTGTTAGATACTATATAAACTTAATCCAGTTTGTTCAGATCAGGACCAGTGTTAGGGGTATTCAAGAACTGCATATTGAGAATAATTTGATGGAATATAGCTTCAAGAACATTGAATATGGAGTTTTAAAACCTACCAACATCTTTGCAAAATAGGCAAATGTAATACCTTACAGAACAACCCACATTAGTTTGATCTACATACCACTTAAAATCATGTGTTAAAATAGTATCTTCACCTTCACTTGGGGAACGCTGCTGTCCTTTAATACAGAAGTTCATAAACCTTTAGAGTGAGATGGAATTTTTCTTTAGATGAGCAGTGATCAACAGAGCAAGTTTTCAGTTCATGTTGGAAGATTTGAAATGTTTGTCATGGTATTAGTTAGTAACATAAACAAACCACTTAAATATTTGTGGTTAAGAATTATAAAACGTGTGTGCCTTGCCAAGGAGAACAGAATCAAATACAAACAATGGGCTGAAAGTAAATGTAAAAATATAACACATTCAGTGATGGTAATTGAGAGAAAGTTCATGTTTAAACCACAATGAGAATGAGCTTTCTAGTTGGAAACATGACAGGCAGCATATGATATTGCTTCAGTCAGGGGCAGATTTTTCCAATTAAATGAAACATGCCCCTTTGGGGAGGGTATTCTTTAGAGAATAGAGTTTGTCACCACCATATGCTTCTGCCTTACCGCAGTGGAACGGTTTTCAGATGTTTGAATTGGTTAAAGAAATAGTGTGTGAGAAGAGGTGGCTTTAAACAGTGTTTCATGCCCAGTATTTGTCTTTTTTTCCTGTAAGGGAAGAAGGTTATAGACAGCAAGGTAGCAAAATCTCCAAACTTCAATAAATTCTGACACATAGCATGAATTTGACATTGGACAAACAGAGTTGGTTTGCATGTGCATGATTCAAAAGGTCATTATCCTCTAATATTCTTCCTTTAGGAGTTTTTGGTTCAGTAACTGAATGTAGACATAGGGAAAGTGCTTCTGGTTTCAACTATGCTTCCATGCCATTTCCAATGCTTTTGTTGTAAGCCTTAGTGAGCTGTCAGACAGGGGAACTGACTGTGAGCTCCCTGGCTTGGATCACTGATTAAAGTTCCTGGAGCTGTACAGCTATCATGAATTTGCTTGTGACAGAATATTTAAGAAGCATAGTGAAGGCATGCTTGGAGCAATGTAACTCATTTAGCTGCATTAATTTTCATCAGGGTTACTCTAGTAATCTGAGTAGGTATGAGTACAAACAAGCACCTCTGTGCTGGCTTCATTTTTTCCACGTGCACAGGGGACACTGATCACTAGCAAGTTACCATAACAGTTCTGTAGAGTATTACACGAGCTTGCAAGTTGCTCAGCAGGGAGAAGTGTAAGATGTAACATATTTCCTCTGATTGCATAAGTGCTGGGTAATACTGCTCTTTGCGGGAGCCGTGCTCGCTATTTCAGTGTAACAGTTTGAGGCTTGAGAGATACCACAGCACTTTGTTGCTTTTACATGGAAATGCTTTGAAAATCCCATCTGTAGGACATGCATCTTTTTCTTAATGATTCTTACCTTGTCACTGAGAACTGGATCAAGTTGCCTTAAACCCTTAGGTGACCTGGATGTGGGAGGTATTGACAGGAGACCAGCAGAAATATGCTAGGACCCACAGTAGACTTAACGTCATTGTAAAGCAAGTGCCCTAGGAGTCTCTAGGCAACTGAAAGCTACCCAAGCAATGGCAGTTTAAGACAAATGTGTGAGAATTGTGTGCACCCAAAAAAAATAAAACAATAGGAAGCATGAAGCATTTTCATGTTGTATGCTTTATACAGGCTCTATTTAAATGATCCTAAAATTCACAAGGTGTTTGACCTCTTTGGTCTCTTATTTTTTAGTCAATAAACCATAGCATGTATTCCATATTGCCTTTTTGACATCTGAAAGAAAACTGCCGTGACTAGTAGTATGCTAAATTTGCACTGTTGTCTTGTGAAGACTGTGGTGGAATACTGCTTTTCCTGCCTTGCCAGTGCCTGCTTCTTGGAAGAAAGTACAATAATCAAATTTTGTATTTGGATTGTTGAGATAGAACAAAAACAAATTAATAGATGTATGAGTTCTATAGAAACCTTGCAAGGCAGGATTAAGTGTCATCAAGTAGTGGTCAGGACTTATCAATAACTTGATTTGAATTCATGTAGTCAACCAAAAAATTGCCTCTACATATTTCATGGATCAAACTAGGAGTATAAATTACGTGACTGACTTCTTCCAGGCATTCTGCTGACACTTTTGCAAATCCAGCAAAAAGAGAATTATTGGTTCTTTTCCAGCATGGTGTTGAGAAGATAATTAACTTAGAGTGGATTAATAACAGCAATCAATATATGCTAAAAAAAACCAAACCACCAAAGCAAAGAATCGGGGCATGCCTTTAATTAGGCTGTAGAGCTGCCTCGAAGTGTTGAAATATCCAGTTTAATGGTTGGGAAATTAAGGTGGAAATCATAATCATAGAGCGTTTCACATGAAAGTGGCAGAGAAGACATGATGGACTTCATCAGAAAGGTTGTAACTAAAATAAAAGGTTAAATAAAATCTGGAGAAAAGTATGCTGATGTAAACACAGCCTTGAATATTTCATATAATGCACACAGTAGAAACCATCTGCTCAGTTACATCCAAGAGCAAGGTAGTAAGACAAGCACCCTAATGTGAATCTATCAGTGCAACAGAGATCTGTGACTTCTGCTGCATTTGTTTCAGAAACTAGGGATATGCCAGTACCAGCTCGAGTTCCTTGACAATGCTGTGACCTTCTCTGCTCAATCTAGAGTACTTCTTTCAGGCCATGTTTATGTTACCCAAACTGTGACTGGCACATTCCCAGCTCAGCTGCGAGATACCATTTGCATCAGACTCTCTGGCATAATCGGAAATTTGACCTGCATAGATTTTGGTATGCATTTTACTGTGTTTTTCTGCTCAACTCTAGGATCAGAAGTCAGTATAGCTTTCACTTGCTGGGGTTTTTGTCACTAACATTCACATTTCTGCTCACTGCTGCTCAATTCAGATTTCCATTGGTTGAAATAATTATGGCTCCCTCGACATACTTCTGATTGAAGTATTTGTCTTTTGGGCTGTTCCTGTGAGGCTTTGGAAGGCCCTTTGAAATACCTCATCATACTCCAAATTTCATGATTGTGCATTGCTGCAGGTATTTGATACAGTAAGGCAAGCATCTCTGATAGGTTTTGTTAATCTGATAAAAGTGCTGACCTAATCTGAATTGTAGATTTGAAAAGTGATCTGACAAGCACAGCAGTAGGATCACATAATTTTGTAGTCACAGGAGAACCAGTGGTGGTAGCCCTAGGGCTTCTGCAGGTGAGAAGAGACGTTTCAGGACCTGAAGGGCTTCCTCTGCTATCAGCCATCAGAGCATGGAGAGGAGCCCAGCATCCAGCAGAGTTGTTGGTGCTGCAGTGTGAATCTGACTGACCAGTTCTACTGCAGGTGCCTTGTCAGCTGCAAGCTGGGGTAGTGGAGCTTTGCAAGTCACGATGAGATACCTCTGTCAACAGATTGGGGATGAAGGAAGGCCATCACTTGCTCTCATGCTGTTTGAGAAGTCTATTCTGTAAAAGTCAGCTGTTATTTCAGGAACAGCCAGCAAATCTGTTAATCAGAAGGACAAGTGCCAAGGTGGTGGTAGGGGACTAACAATTCAACAAGGAGAGAAATTACCTAAACAACAAAAATAATTTGATAGTAATTCAGATACAGAAGTGATCCAACTAGAAATGAAAAGTAAAAAAAAGCAATTCACAAAAAAACAAAACCCCAAGCAAAGTATCAGTGAAAACACCAAACTTCAAATAAGCCAGAAATAAAGAACAAAAATAACCTGTTCAATACAAAATGGGCAGTTAGTGAGCAAGCGATGTGTACATTAGAATTTTAAAAAGAAATGTCTTTGTGGAGTTTATGTATGCAAGAAGATTAGCAGTAGGAACTGCAGTGCCTTAAGGGCAGCAAGACCAAACAAACAATTTGAAATTCAGCATTCAGAAAGTTGTTCATGCTGAGAGTGTTGCAGGAGTTTCAGGTGCAGTTAAAAGCCAGCAGTAACATCAGTGATGGGGCTTTTCCAGAACCTCCACTGGTTTGACCCTTAATTTTTCCATGCCTTTACTGGCTGATTTGTGTGCCCTGTAACAAAAGAAGGTGAAAAAGCAGTGGATCCTTCTATCAACCTGCCTTCCCAAGACAGATCTCCACAGGATAATTCAATGGTGCAGGTAAGGGATTCTGGCTGAGTGAGGATTGTCAGAGGTCAGTCTGCTAGAGTAAAGATGTGAGGAATATGTCCAAGAAAGGTCTGCATCTTCTGAGGGACAAGGATCAAGTTGGCCATGACTTCCAACAGCTTCCAGCAGCTGGAGAGAAATTTCTCATCAGGAGAGTGGAGTTTTGGGGAAGAAGACTTGGAGCATCTCTTAAGGGTTGAGGAGGGGTGGGACATCTGAGGCCCTGGTGTGGTGGGCTTTGTGCTCCAACAGTGTTAGAGAAGCCTTGTGGCTGCGCAGCCATGTATGACCTGAGTCTGTTGACCCCTCAGTTTGTCCTGTGATAAAGTGACTTACCAGGTTCAGTTTGTGATGCATTCAAGTTTTGCCTCTCAGGACTACATCACAAACACTGATAACTTTGTTTAATTGGAAAGCACCTTCTAATCATCTTTGCTTGTCCCATGCATCATTTGCACTGGGGATCAGTGCAAGTTTTGGTGCAAAACTCATATGAACTCAGTTGAGGGGGGAAAAATGGAGGTGTTATCCTGTTATGATTGCCCTGAATTGTGCTCTGTCAGGAACCTCCTGGCAAAAGTCACTGGCTCTCTTCCAGGAGGAAACTGCATTGACCAGATGCTAGCTACTTACAGTCCAGGTGGTTTTGGCCTTGAAGTAGCCAAGCAATTGTGTAAAACTGGTGGCTAATGGCAGAGTGTGGCAAAGGCTTCATAGCATAAGGTCACTGCTGAAAATTCCAGGCTTAGGTATGGGTTTTGGCCCCTGTGCATGTTTTTTAGCTTTAAAACTTGATCTGCCTAATCCAAAGTCCTGGTAAACTGCAAAATTTCCATATGTATATGCATGTTCTACATTTGTGTTTGTAGAATTTTTCATTTACCACTAGGAAAGACTTGCAAAGAAAAACAGAAATGTGTTATACCTCGGCTGAACACATTTCTCGATAATAACAATACCTCATTTGTGGGCCAGGTTCAGGATAGCTGTTGCATGGAGGTCATTGCATTTAATCCTTTAGATTTTTTGGTTGATACCCATCATTGCTATTTCTCCTTTGAGGGTTGTCCACTGTGGAACATCCACATCCAGTGAACTGGAGGGAACTCTCAAGTGGGTTTTGGGGATTTAGAAGAACAGGTTGGCATCTATTGCATTGTTCCTTTTTTCCCCATATTTCTCCTCTTGGCATCCTAGAGTTGTGAAATGGATGTATATTGGGTCTGTAAATAAATAAACTTCTGTGTTAGGTGTTTTTTTTCATGAAAAATGACAATATGCTGTTAAGGGAGAGAGTTGTTGAGGATGCGCAGTGCTTAAAAATACGTGAATGAATGTTTAACACCAGAGTTTTAATGCTAAAAAAATAACAACGTTGCTAAGCATTGACAGCTTGCTATGTAATTTTATATCAACCAAAGTTCTGAAGAGTCTGGCCCACAAACAGATAGCTCAGAAACAATTATTGAAGAAAAGTTAGATTGGATGCTGAGATAGCAACTTAATGAAATAAAAGCTTAATTTGATACTGTTACACATTTAAATAAAGCTACCTGCTCTTGATACAGTTCTTAAGTCATCGAGGCATTGAGGCTATGGATTAAGGGATTTGTACACTACCACAGTTCTTTCTGCTTGTACAGATTACCAAAAAAAAGGTTTCCAGTACTCAAGAGTATATTTTAATGTATTTTCTTTCTATCCTTTCTTGATGGATTCGTGATGTTCTTTTTAGTTAGCTCTATCAGCTTCCTAATTGGAGCTTATTAAATGTTACTTCAATATAATGAGCTATATTTATTTCACAGGATGTTTGTGTTGGCAGCTGCCTGCATACATTCAATTCAGTGCTCTTGCAAGCATTACACCAAGGCTTCCATAAAAGCTCCTGTATTTGAACACAGGAAACAGGATCCCTCAAATGAAACTTGATTTGATCAATCTGTGAAGTAGGATGGGCCACACATGATGGTGTGGTTGTACTTGTGATGCTCACACTCCCTTAATTACAGGGTATCCATTCTTCTTTCATGAGAATGCCAAAAGCTTGCTTGCCCCCTTGTTTTCCACATGGCTGCCCTGTGTGTAGTCTTGGAAACATGAAACCCAAATTTAAGTAGAAATTTGTGCATGCAAGAGAATGCAGATACAATTACAGCCATGTGAAACAACTCACATGAAGCTTGTAAAGTATTTATGGATGTAATTTCTATTTCTTGCTCAGACCAGCCCATTTCTTTTGGCATGCACTCAATGTCAGTGTGCCTCATTTCTGCAGTGCAAATTAGGGATTCAGCCTTTTCTTTCTGAATTCTTACCCAAGTGACTTGGTTTGATTGTTAAGCTATATTTACTGATTTGATCAGTTTTTCCAGCCCACATAGAATTAATGTTCTCTCTTCTCCTGTAAGTGCTCTTTCTTCCTTCTGGGGTATGGTAAAGTATACTAAATCATTACATCATTTCCGGATTTTACTTCTGTCTGGGTTAGACAGCCTACAAAAAATATTTCTGAGGTTTCAGTTTTGAAAAATGCTACACTTGATTATATGAGATGAGTTAAATATGTAATTGCTGGAGCTGCTGCTATGACACTGAATTTACATAAATTAAGATCCAGTGCATTCCCAGCAGCAGAAGTATTCTCACATGTTTTATTCCCTGAAAAGTGAATGTTTGAGTGGTGGTTGGATTTGACTTTTGTTTGGAGAAAGGGAGGTATTGTTTGCTTTGTTTTATATCCTTTATACTGAAGTACATTTGCTGTTTACAGTCCAAACAGATTATCCTACCTGCTAGTTGTGCAAAGTAAATTTGGAACCTTCTTTTTATGCATTATTAACAGCAGTATTAATGTAATTGTGGATGAGGAAATGCCACAGTAGTTGCAAACTGAAACCCTTTCTTACAGCTGCGGTAGTTCTACAGTAGAAGAAATGTACATAATGAGCTAAATATTGAGTTTATTATGAAAAAAATGCATTCTTTGTTTCTAGAGTGGCTATTTAAAAAATATTTTATACTGAAAGCAAAAGATGTAATGTGGTACACCAATGTTGTGTATGACCTCATTTGCAGCTGTATGTTAACCCATTACTTCTGTATCTCTTTTTTTGCAACATTTTACGTCATTTTCTTTTGCAGTATAAAGAAATGTAAAAATTACTACGAAGTCCTTGGAGTATCAAAGGATGCAGGTGAAGAAGACCTAAAGAAGGCTTATAGAAAACTTGCTTTGAAATTCCACCCAGACAAAAACCATGCACCTGGAGCAACAGAGGCTTTTAAAAGTAAACCCCATTTTTACTTTGAATTTCTTTTATGATTAAGCTTCATCCAAATAAATATCTGCATTGGTCACTTGTATTTTTACAAATGTAAATGTATTTTTAGCTGTTGTTAAACTGACATTTTTATTGAAGAAAATACTTGACCTTTGTTATATTAGAAATATAGATAAGTAAACATGGACTTCGGCAGTAGGGCTTGGTTTCAGAAAATTGATTGTAGTGTTCAGTACAGGGAACAAATACTTGATCTGTGAAACCCAATTGCACTTTTTTACTGTTTTTCACTTAATGTAGTCATCGAATTTTACTACCTTGGATCTTTACTGTAACTGAGCTAGAAAAAAGGAAATCCGTGATAACAAAATGTAGCTTTTACTGAATCACATGCCGCACTGTTACCTCTTCCTTAGCATTTTTTGTATGTGTGTAGTTTTACTACTTTTTCTGCACAAAAACACCTGAGTTCAATCGTGGCCTTACTAGTAGTTGTCTTTGACCATTTTTTAGGTAAAATTTACAGTCTGACTTGACCTTATTTAAGGCTGCCCAGCTTAGCCCTGCACATGGGAAATTATTGAAGAAAAGCTTTTTAAAGAAAACTACACCTTCATCTCAGGTGAAGAAAAATGTGAATCTGTAAGAAATGATGATGCATAAACAGTCTGATTGTGGTACATCTTTTTATTTTTTTTCTGTGTGAGGTTTACATGCAGACATTTGAAAAAATCATTCGGATAAAACACTTAAATTGGGGAGGGAAAAAAGAAAAAAAAAGTCCTGAGCAAGACTCCTGATACAGACTTTAAGAGGTAATTATAATAATATATTAACAATTACAGGTGAAAAGTAGATAGAGCAAAGCAGTAAAGTTGATTACTGTTGAGTCATTTAATACAGCTATGTGGTATCTTTATTTAAAAGATACTATTCCTATAAAATTGTATTGGGCCCTAGGAATAAAATAGTTCTTTCTTGTTAATAGCATTTCAAATCATCTTTAAAATGTTAAATTCCGTTTATTAATATTTTATTTAACATGAGCACTTTGTACAAGTCTGATTTCTTCAGCTGAATTTCACTTTCTAGTTTTTAACTAGATGAGTAAACAAACAGGAAATTTTGTAGGGGAATCTTGTTTACCAAAAATTGTTTAATGACAACTAGCATTTGCTTTCATTGAAATTATCATAATCATTTCGTATGGCTGAGTAAATTTATGGTTTAGTTTTCCTTTAAAGGTGTCTGGTGAGTTTTTGACATCCATCTGAGAAAAGGAGTTAATAATAATAGGTTTTATTTCATAATAATGTTTTATTTTAAGGAAAGGTCACATTTTAAAACAGAATTGAATTTCATGATAGGTAAGGTACTTAGATCTTGACCTACCTAGTACTACTGTTCCATTGTATTGAACAGTTTCACTGAAGTGAATTTTTAAATGAAAAAGTTTGTGCAAATATAATAACTTCTGCTGTCTTTTACCAATTTAGTCAAGAACCTTTTCTTTGAAACTTTTGAGCAGTGGCTTTTTTTTTATTTTTATGTCCTTTTTGAAAAGAAAATTATATTGGAATTAAAATCTGTTGTGAATTAGCACCAGATAATCAAGAGCAAGTAACAAACAGGCATATTGTGACAGTATGGTGACTTGACTTTATATTCAGTCACCTGATTTATCTAAGTTTTTAATTGTTGGGAAAATCTAAATTTTTACTGCCAATTTTATCCTTGTATTGAGCAACAGAACAGTATTTGATGTTGGTTTATATCATGCTTTCAGTGCAAAATACCAGGCTTCATTTTTTTGGGGTTTCTCCTCCACTTAAAGGAATTGCATATGTTTTATCCTAAGGGCATCTTAAAAGACACATAGCTAAAACTCATTAACTCTTGCTTAGACTGGATAATGTTTAAAATACTAATTATAAAACCACAGTCTTATTTGCCTGTGTTGAGGTTATAGTGTTGCACCTTTCACAAACTTTTGATGACTGTGGCTTTTCAACACTGAACATCATAATCCCTGTGCCTTGGGTTGGTTTTCTGCCAAAGAAGTCTTTTGTTAGAGAGGACTGGAGGAGAGAGTAGAGAGGAAGGCAGAAAGGGTTTAATGAAGATATGACTGAGTGAAGATCTTTCATCAAGTGGCAGCACAAACATTCCATCAATCTGCAAGATCATTATGTCTGTGCACAGCAAGAAAGAAGCTTCTAAAGTCATTAGAATATGTGGGTTTTCTTGCTGATTTTTCCATGCTTATCTAAATGAGGTTTTTTCCTTTCTACTGCCAAAATTGAAGCTGTTCATTTGTTCATTTGATACCATAGCATAAACAGGGACAAGCATCCAGGCCAGGCCCTCCGAACACGGAGGTCATATTGATCGCCCAAAGAACACGTGCATTCCTGTCACACGTGCATGTTGTATTCCTCATGTTACATCATGCAAAACTTTGTGTTATTAATGTAATGCATAAAAATACCTTCAGAAGCATGAAGACAAATACATTCACACTCTTGTTCACAATGAAGTTGGTATATTCCAAGAAATGACCACTTACCAAATGAAACCAAAGAAAACCTGCCAAGTCTATGATGTTTTTTTAAGCTAGGCTGCTAGAGCAAACTGCAGGTACCCAGGTTCAGAGTCGTATTGTAATGCTTGAAGATTTTTTGGTAACTGCAGTGAGAGAGAACATTTCCAAAAGTGTAGGTGTTCCCCTAGAAAAGCAAAGCTCTTCTGCCTTGTTTAACAGGATAAAAGGCCTTTGAATAGCATTGGTGGGAAACTTTGTGGAAGCTATTCTAAGAAAAGTGGAGATGTTTCTGGACCTTGTTATACTCTAGTTGTTTAGTAACATACAGTGAATTACATCGTTTGCTGCCTGTTTTTGACTTTGAAATTTCAATTTTCATGCTGGAAAGCTTTTATCATGCATTTATGGGAGTTGTGTTTTATTCCTTGCTTCAGAAATCGGAAATGCATATGCTGTGCTGAGTAATCCAGAAAAGCGAAAGCAGTATGACCTTACAGGCAGCGAAGAGCAAACTTGCAATCACCCTAGCAATGGCAGATTCAACTTCCATAGAGGTTGTGAGGCAGATATTACTCCAGAGGATCTGTTCAACATGTTTTTTGGAGGGGCCTTTCCAACAGGTATTTGTATTCATCAGTATAATTGTCTAGATGTACTGCCCAGAGTGGCATTAGAGCTTATGACATTATAAAACAGTAGAATAATTCCAGCCAGCCTTGAACCCCAACTCTACAATCTACATCAGTTTATTTTTCCCTCAAACGCTGCGTAATCCGAAAAATGTCAGTTCTTTGGGGTTACTATCATAGAGATTAAAATACGTCTTTTAAGCAACTTTGAAAATATAAGATACCTTAATGTCATTTTATATGCCATTGTGCAGTAATGTAAAGTGCTTTATGTTGCTTCTGTACTGACTTCTAAATAGTATTGTGTACATGATTTAAATGTGGCTGTTCCTTCCTCAGGTAGTGTACACTCATTTTCTAATGGTCGTGCTGGCTACAGCCATCCAAACCAGCACCGTCAGAGTGGGCACGAGAGGGAGGAAGAGAGGGGTGATGTAAGTTTAAGCACCATTGGCTTTAAATTATGAAATCTGCTTTCAGTGGTGTGATTGTACAGGAGCTCTCTACTGTAAACCACTTTGTACCTGCCGGTTGGGTATTTTAAACTTCAGCAGGTGGTTGGCTTACTGACTGATAAACAGGCATGCAAATTTGAGAAGGTAATAGCCTGGTTTTGTAAATCTGTTGTATGTCACTTTCTTACTGGTGACTGGTATTATTAACCTAAATATGCCACTAATTCTGGCCACTAATCCTTGTATGCATTTAAAAATTTATTTGGGCTGAGGTAAGTATTGAACTTATGGCTCAATATTGACCTACATGAATTATGTCTAGTCCTGTATAATCACATATCACTGTATAGATGAGACCAAATCATAGTATACAATGTAGCTGAATCCAGTTTTTATTTGGTAGTTGCTTGTGTGTATGTGCTTACCCATGAACTCTTGCAGCTTGAGCACTCTGTGAATATTGTGTATGCATTTGAAAGTTCAGATAATACCACAGTGTTTGCAGTTACTGTTTTCCTAGCAGCTTTGGAGGCTTAAAGCAAAAAGTCACGCTTAGCATTAAGTATTGTCAAATTTACTTGTTTGCTTGATGATTTATGAAATACTTGAATCTGTTTTGTTCCTTAGGGAGGTTTCTCTATGGTCATTCAGCTGATGCCTATTATTGTGTTGATCTTTGTCTCCTTGTTGAGCCAGTTGATGGTATCTAACCCTCCTTACGCCTTATATCCAAGATCGTAAGTAACGCTTAATTACATCACCTTAAAGTAGAGGGGGAAGGTATTGTAATCACCCTCTCCCACTTAGAAGCATTGTGGAGAGTCTTTCATTAGTTGATCTTTGATCTCCTACTGTGAAGAAAGGGAAGGAAGGTGTAGATGAAGCAGAACAAAAAATGTAGGTGCAAAAAATATAGGTGCTGTGAGGATGTAATGGAGAAAAGAGGTCAGCGCTACCTGGAGTTTAGGAGGTCTAGTACAAGCCAGTGGGTCCATGCAACACGACATGTTGTAAAGGTGTTTACATCTCCAACATACGTAATCAAAACCTGAAATCTGCTAAGGCTCATTATTCTTTAGAGGGTAATCTTTGTTCGCGGAAGGTGAAGAACTTGAAAGCAACTTCCTTATCCTTATTTAAGTGTTAAACTTGATGATGGCTGGGAAGATTGTCTGTTTTTTGCTTCATTCTAGGTGATGGTAAAATCTTCATTTTCTTTTGAAGAATTCTACTTGTGAAACTTACCTATTTTGTACAGTAGGATATTTAAACCTTTTTTTCTTGTGAGAAATAAACTTGAATCAAGCATGCAGCTAGCTGGTAGACTTAGCCCACTCACCACAATGGTTTTAGAGGTTTTTAGTTCCTTGCAGATCTCTCAGCCCCACAACAGAAAGGTTTGATTCCTCCTGTTTTTCAAAATTCTCTATTTCTGGAGTAGGATGTTTTTCCCTTCTGTAACTAAGCTGTTGCAATGCTTAGAAAAGCTTTTCTGCCAAAATGTTTGCATCCAATCTTTGATTTTTAATCTGCAGAATGCCAGCAGGAAAATGAATTTATCAGGGCTGGCAGCAAACACTTCAGAATGGAGATGCCTGTACTGTGTTGCAACAGAATAGTGACCTGTTTCTGTTGAGTTTGAATGTATTTTTTTTTATTATTAAGACTTATATTTGCCTAAAGAGATATGAAATAAATGTCATAGTAAAGTGGAATTTTTTTATGAGATCAAGTGTTTAAGCAGCAGAAGTTTAATGATCAGGTAAATGCAATAATTTTATTCTCTAGACAATTATAGAGCCATTCTTTTCATTATTTGTCTCAAAATGGCAAATTTATGAATGTGCTGGTACTATTCTGTAATGGCAGTATTTTTTTTAAATCTATTTGTGATATAAAAAAATAAATTAATATTTAGTCTTTCTCTCCCCCCTCCCTTCTTTTTTGCAGAAGTACAGGGCAGACCATAAAAATGCAGACAGAAAATTTGGGTGTCATTTATTATGTCAATAAGGACTTTAGAAATGAATACAAAGGAGTGTCGCTACAGAAAGTGGAAAAGAGTGTGGAAGAGGATTATGTGTCCAACATTCGTAATAACTGTTGGAAGGAGAGGCAACAAAGTAAGTTTGGTAATATGTGTAATTTCATGAAATCATGCATTACTATAAAATTAAATTGCCTCAAGCAAGAAGGAAGGGCTTGTATTATTACAACATCTCAATGTGAAATTAAGTCCCCTGCTGTTCCTCACTTTAACACTGTCCACGGTGTCACTTTGTTTCTGAATTTTATTCAGTGATCTAACAACCATTTGCAAATCATCAGCAATTTTAACCTGCTGCTTTATTATCTGTGTCGATTTCTCAGAAAATTAGACTACACTAAATTGATAATGACAAAGCTTTTGTCGTTAACTCACTGCAATTTATAAGAATTCTCATGTCTTCCACATTACTTTATCATGGCAATAACTCATTTCCCTAAGTGCTTTTATATAAGTAAATAAATATACAGAAGCTTACATAGAAGCTTACATAGGTATTTACAGGGAGACAAAAAAAGAATCTTCCTTGGACGACAGTACATACAAACACTGTTTTTCCAGGCAACCAAGGACAGGCAGTGCATCCTGTAAATCAAGAGGGTTTAGTTTGCCATCTGTTTCTCCAATCTAATATTATACAATGAGTTACTTCTTTTCAGAAACCTAAAATTCAAAGTTAAACCATAAAAATACTGAAGATCACCAGCCTTTTCTAAATCAGCATCAATTTTATCCAGTTATTCTGTTATCTGTGACCATTTTGTGAGCTATGTGGGAACAGCACCACTAAAATTTACATTAGTATTGAAACCAGATGGTTTTAACTTTTCAGGTGGTGAACTTCAGTCATAGCTAACTGGAAAAATAATTGATTCATGAACTGTCAGTAAACTGACCAAAAGCAAATAGAATGCAGTTCTCTGAGTAGATCAGTAGAGTAGAACAGTAAAACTGTTCCCGCCCAGTTTTAGTCTCTGTAGTGCAGTTGCTTGGTACTTGTAATTTATTAGGTTGTGAAAACTACCTAAACTGATTTTGAATAAGAGGCTCCTAATGTTTTCTTTTTTCTGATAATAGAAACAGCTGATTTTATGGTTTTAAAATACCAGTTGTGTGTTAAATCTCTGTGACAGTTAAAATCTATCTGGGGTTGATTGACGTTTAAGAATGTCTTGCATTTTGAGTTGAAGTGACAAAAAAATCTACAGAATTAAAATGCTCAGCATTGTCAAGCTGTTGAGCACCAGTATAATACAGAGAGCTCTTAATTATTAATAGCTCTGAACACTGACAGTCTGAATCAGCATCAGTTGAAGTAAAGGGCTTAACATTCAGATTGGACTTTTTAGGGCACAGACAAGATGCTAGAGCTATCAATAACAATGCAGGATCACTGAGAGTGGCCTGTATTTGTAATGTTTAATAAGGTCTGACCAGAAGTAGTAGGGCATTTTTTGTTATTTTGTTGTTGTTGAGGATTTTTGTAGGTTGTGTTTTTTTCTGTTTAATCAGATACTGCTTTATGAACTCTGAGGGAGCTGGAAGGGTGATACAGCTTTAACTGCTCAAAAAGATGGAATTGTTACAAATATCCAGCAAAGGAAAACAGTAGCAGTGCTGTTTAGTCTGAGGGAAGTTAGAAGGAAAAAAGGGCAAGGGTTAAAATCTCAGGTGTTTTGTACAACTCTGTCATGTTCCAAGTATTCAGTTTGTAACCAAAAGAATGTTTTCTCTTTTCTCCTTGAAGAAACAGACTTACTTTATGCAGCAAAAGTATATCGAGATGACCGCCTCCGAAAGAAAGCAGAGTCTATGTCCATGGAGAACTGCAAGGAACTGGAACGGCTGACCAGCCTCTACCGAGGAGAATGAGCTACAGTTACACACACACCTTACCTATGCTGTTATCTCTCCTGTAAACCGACAAGAGATTTAGTTTCACCATGGATGCTGGAAAAGAGGGTGGATGTAAAACTCTACTGTGTAGCTGTTTCCAGAAACCTTATGCTGAAATATCATTTAACGGCTTCTTTACCTACTGTGAAATATAGGTAACTTTAATTGTCTAGATTTTACTTCAAAGCTTCTGTGAATTCTTTCAGCAGAGAGAATAGCTCAGAAAGGATGCTATACTTGTAGAGACTTAGTCATAGTGGTTCTCCTCTAACATATTTGCCATGTAAATATCTATGGAAAGAACACTTTGTGTATATACGAGTTAAATGACTTTCTATTTAAAAATCTCAGAAATTTAGTTCCATACTACATTTTGTCTCACTGATGGAATAAATAGTATGATTACATCACTCCTATTCAGATGTCAAGTGTGTGGAGTTGAAACAATAATTTTTAATATTTTATCTCTAACTCTATGTAAAATCTTCTAGGTTTACCGCTTAGAGGAACTTGGTATTTTTAAATATAATGGCATATATTGCTAAATATCTGTTGGGGTATATTGATCTGGTGTAGAGTAGCAGTTTAGCTGTTGTAGTTTTTTAGCATTTCTAAGCAATGCTGAGAAAAATAAGAACTACACTAATCTCTTTTCAAAGTAAATATTTGCAAATGCTGTACAGACCATTATAAACATTGCTTTTAGTACTTGCAACAGTTTACAACAGCTCTACCATTTGGTATTCCAGTAGTAGTAAGTCCATACGTATGGTTAACATGCATCCATAGCTTCCTTAATTTTCACTGGAAAGGTAGAGGAAAACATGCAACACTAAAAACACTAAAATAAAAAGGCAACCTAATTTTTTTTCCCTGGCAGGCTTCCATTTTCTTACTACTTTTTTATTTCAAGCTGGGTCCCAGTACTGATTCCTCAACGGGCACCGCAATTGGAACAGGGAGATTTTGCTAAGTACAAGCTATGTGCCTTTCAATTTTGCCAACTATTTAAATGCTTTGCTGCTTTGCAGTGTGCTCCTATGGTCAGAACCCTATCACTTGTCAGAAGAGGTAGGGTATGCATTTTTTGGGACCAGAATGTAGCTGGACTGACTTCCTAGAAATGAGCAAGCCTACTGTTTGGCTCCTGTATGGAAGATCATGTAACTCAGTGGCCTGGAAATGGAAACTATATGTAGCCACACCTGCTGATGCAAAGAGGTGTTCTGAAGCAGCTAAGTACAATGTACTTCAGGTTTATCAAAGTATATTGAAAATGTTTTTAGGTCCAGTTGCTGATGTTTTTTACATTTTAACAGTGTTATGCAGGGGAATGTTTCTTGTATTTGAGAATGCCAGATAGCTTGTATTATGGGCAATATATTTTGTTTGAGAAAATTGCTGTCTGAACAATGCTGTCAGTTCATGTGGAGCCAAATATTTCTCCTAAATTTAAATACTTTGTCTGACTTCATTGCAATTCCTTCTGATCCAGAGCAGGATATGTTTGACTTTACAAATACACTGAATGCTATTGCTCCAAGTGACCCAGAAAACATTTTGCATATATCAATTTTCTAAACTGTCCCAGTGGAAATGTCTTGTCTTGAATTGGTGTAACGTGAGACTGGCTGCAGGCTTTTAACTAAGCAGCTAAGCCAGCATTCAAGGTGGACATGAAAGCCTGGGGCACAAAACAGAACTAAAAGTTCCTGAAACAACAACAAAAAAAAAAAGTTTGCTGTACTGAATGTCCTTGCCAAGACTATAGTAAAAGGGCTCAGATATAATGGAAAGGCATCCAGATGTTTGAAATATGCAATCAAAATCTATGGAGAAAACGACATTCCCCAGTTTTTGTAACTGTCCAGAATGTATTGTAATTATATTAATGAAAACAAACTATCGAGTACATTCTGGTACTCCTGTGTCTTCTTAAAAGAAGAAATTTATTCCAGAGGCTTTAACAAGTACTTGGGCCTTCCTGTTTACAAATGAGTCTGAGTTTGCAAGTAATCTTTTAGTTAACAGGAAAAGGGATATATAACACATTTATCAAATATTGAAACTGTGAAGTCAGAGTGAACAGATGGTCTTAGCAAAGCTGCCTATAATAATCCTATGGGCTGTGTCTGCCCTGCAGCCACTTCTGGTGCAGGTGAGAAGTGTGGAAATGGATGGATGCTGAGCTGTGTCAGCTTGGTTCGATTGCTATCAGTTCCTCTGCAAACTGGGATAATGTGGTGGCTGTGCCCTATGGCAACACAGACACCCCAGAAGGTTAAAAGTGAGACCTAGACTGCAACATTTCATTTGATTACCTATTGCAATTAGCACTTTCTGAGAAGGAAATAATATGTTTATACTGGTGGAAGTATGCTGCTTAGCATTTAACAGATTAAATAGTTGCACACTTTGAAATATGTAGTAATGTGCAAAAGGATGCTGTGATTTCCTGTGGCATAAAGATTAAGCTGCTCTAAATATGGCCTGCAAACATTCTTTTAATATTTCAAGTGGGTGTTTTTCTCCTCATGGTTGTTGCTTTTTTTTCCCTAAAGTCTGAAGGGGCTTTTTTTCTTCAGAAATGTCAATATCTTCCCTGGATTTGTTGAGGGAATCTGCTAGAAATTCATTTGCTCATGAGCAAAATGCAAATTGAAGAGGGTGGAGTACTTAAATCTTTTCAGATGACCTTTCTTCAGAAGGCAAAGCTCTCATTAAAATAAGATACTGGAAAGAAAAGGGGAAAGCAAAACTGGTTTTGAACAGCCTGACTAAAAATCCCTCAACATTTTGGCTACCTGCTCCTTAACTGTTTTTATTAAATATTTATTATTTTATTAAAATTAAAATTATTAAAATATAAATATTATTTTATTAAATATTTAAATAGTCATTACCTTTCATTTAATCTAGAATTATAGATAGCACAAGCATGGGTTCTTGGTTTTGTCCTTTAAAAGCACAGGCAGAAAAGCCTTGCAAAAAGAGAAAAATCTTGGCATGACTCTGACATAGCCTAATGAAAAAAGGAGATGATTTGCATCTGCTGAAATATAACATCAGTATGTGTTCTATTTATGGAGCATCCTGAGTCACAAGAGAGTTCAGTGTTCACATCTGATGAACATTTCCCTACAAGTTCTCTGTTTGGGTAAAACAAGTCTAAATTGGAATTTTTTACCTTTTTTTTTAGACAGTCTTTTTTATTTTACAAGTTTCCAAGAAATGGTAGAACATCACAGCACTAAAAATGCAACAGATGCATTTAGATAGACAGCAAAGACAACTTGAAATTATAAATATTTTTAATACAATTTTGTAACAAATGCTGTAAAAGGATTAAAATACGAGGGCAAGAATATTTTTTAAGGTTGTTTGTTCATGAATTTCATTCACTTTTAAGCAGTTGTTATTCTGACTTCTTGTAGCTCTGTCAAAAAGAAGGAAAGTGTAATAGTAAAAGCATTTTCTTTTTTAAAAAGCAGGTAATAATAAATAAATTAATTCCTGAAGCTATAACTTACATGTAATGTAATGTAATAAATATAGGAAAGAAACAGGCCATTTGTTGTGATTGGCCTTGGCCATGAATGAAGCACTGTGCAGCCAGCTGCTCTCACCCCCACAGCACAACGGGGTGAAGAATCAAACTCAGGTAAAACCTGGGGGCCGAGATGACAGCAGTTCAATCATCAAAACAAAATCAAATATCAATGATCAATAGCAATGAAAAGGGAGACAAGAGAGAGAGGAATAAACCCCAAGAAACAGAAGTGAGCCCAGTACAATTGCTCACCACACTCTGACCGATGCCCAGCCTGTCCCTGACGAGCAGTCAGCAGCTCCTGACCAACCTCCCCAGTTTATACGCTGACCATGAGCTGCTCCATGGGATGAAATATCCCTTTGGCAAGTTTGGGTCTGCTGTCCTGGCCCTGCTCCCTCCCAGCTTCTTGTGCACCTGCTTGCTGCCAGAGCATGGGAAACAGAAAAATCCTGGATTTAGGGTAAGCACTGCTCAGCAACAGCCAAAGTATCAGTGTGTTACCAACATTATTCTTGTACTGAATCCAAAGCACAGCACTCTACCAGCTGCTAGGAAGAAAAGTAACTCCCCTATCCCAGCTGAAAGCAGGACACCATTATAAGCTATACTTCCCATACTTCTCAGTTTGGCAGGAATTGGGTTTGATGATTTGGCTTCTCCACATTTTTACAAGTAATATTAAAATACACTGTTCAGTTACAATGTTATCCTTCATACGAAATACCCTTCTTCCTTCAGTACTGGTTTATTCCTTGTATAGAAAGACTACATTGGGATGGGAAAATAAATTCCCATTAATAGCAATACAGGAGCCATCTCATAGATGCTTTTGCATAGCTTTCATTCAAAATGTGACAGGGAAATAAGTAAAATCAATCACTGAGCATCATGACTTCAAATAATTTTAAAAAAGTTGCATTTTTAAACCTTTTTAGTGTATAGTGGGGAATATTTTAATAAACGAGAAGACCGAGGTTGTCCCAGGTAGCATTTTCAAAAATACTACCAGAAGCTCACACAATGATTTTATGGGGTTCTCTTTTAAGTATCTCTCTAATATGACCAAGTCCTTATCAAATTGCTGTGTGTGCATGGCTTGGATTAAGAAGGAGGTATGAATTCTCAGTATTCAAATAAATTTGTTCTTTTGAATGACCTTTTCCTCTGTTACTTGCAAAAAGTGGCTTATCTCTGTTTCGGGCTTTTTGGAAACTTCGCTGGACCTTTATGTTTAGAAACATTAGCAATTTCCAAGTAAATATATATACATATATATATCTGTACACACATATATATATATAATTTACACTTTTTGAAATTGTAATTTGATACTGGCATCTAAGCAAAATCTTCAGGAATCAACAATGCTCTAGTCACTGGTGGTGTCCCCTGGGCTCAGGATTGGGCCCACTCCTGTTCAGTATCTTTACTGACAATCTGGATGAGGGAATTGTCTACCCTCAGTAAATCCACAGGTGACACCAAGCTGGGTGGCAGTGTTGATCTGCTGGAGGGCACAAGTCTCGGCTGGGGATTTGGACAGGCTGGGTCAATGGGCTGAGACAATGGAATGAGGTTGAACAAGGCCATGTGCTAAGTTCTGCCCTTGGGTCACAGCAACCCCAGGCAGTGCCACAGGCAGGGGACAGACTGGCTGGGAAGCTGCGCAATGGAAAGGGACGTGGGGTGCTGGTGACAGCAGCTGAACATGAGCCAGCAGTGCCCAGAGGGGCAAGGGAGTCCTGGCTTGGATCAGCAATGGTGTGGCCAGCAGGAGCAGGGCAGGGATTGTCCCCTGTACTCGGCACTGGTGAGGCCACACCTCGAGAGCTGTGTCCAGTTCTGGGCCACTCACTACAAGAAAGGCATTGCAGTGCTGGAGCGTGTCCAGAGAAGGGCAGCAGAGCTGGGGAATGGTCTGGAACACAAGTCCTGTGAGGAGCGGCTGAGGGAGCTGGGGGTGTTTAGCCTGGAGAAGAGGCAGCTGAGGGGTCACCTGGCTGCTCTACAAATCCTGACAGGAGCAGGTAGCCAGGTGGGGGTCAGCCTCTTCTCCCACACATCCAGTGACAGGATGACAGGAAATTACTTCAAGCTGTGCCAGTAGAGGTTCAGGTTGGACATTAACAAGAAATTCTTCATACAAGAGGTGTCTAGATACTGAAATGGGCTGCCCAGTAAGGTGATAGAATTGCTGTTGCTGGAGGTGATTGACGAAAGACTGGATGTGGCACTCAGAGCCATGGTCTGGTTAACATGATGGTGTTCAGTCATAGTTTAGACTCAGTGATCTGGGAGGTCTTTTCCAACCTAAATGATTCTGTGATTCTGTGCTTGGCTTGTAGCAGCTTGGTTTTTTTTAGAGAAAAAGCATTGTGTGCTGAGCAGGCTTGGGGTGTTTTTAGTCTACCACAGGGCTCCTGCATGCTGATAGAAGACTTTGAAAACAGATACCATTGTTACACTGTGGGCATCTACTAAATTAATCTATTTTATTTCTTCACATTAGCTGTTACATTATTAGCCTGGAGGTCCATGTTTTGGTGGACTAGATCCAAAAGTACGAGAAATAAGCAACAGTGGAAGAGTAAAACTGGCAGTAACTCTACTCGGCAGAAAAAGACATTCGCTCTCTGCGGTCGATGTTCCTTAACTGAAATGCTGCGGTTTGTTTTGGTTTTGGTTAGTTTTGCTGCCGGGGCGGAGGGCGGGGGCGGCGGGAAGCGGTTCCGGGGCCGGGAGGGCGGTGCCGTAGCTCATGTGACAGCGGCTCCAAGGGGAAGCGGCGGCGGAGCCGTACGGGGCGCGCCGGGGGCGCGGACAGGTACGGCGGGGCGGGCAGGGAGCGCCCCCCGCACCCCCCTCCCGGGCCGCGGTGGTCTCGGCCCAACCGCGCGCCCTCCCCGGCGCGGCTGGGAGCGGCTGTACCACGGCAGCGGGGCGGGGGGTGGCGGCCGGCCGGGCCTCGGGGACGGAGCGCGCCCTCCCTTCGGCCGCTCCCCTCCTCGGAGGCGGTGGCCGCGCCCGCGGTGACGGGCGGCCTGTCGTCTTGTCTCGCAGGCCCGCGGAGGTGGCGGCGGCGGCAGCACCGGGCGGGCCCCAGCCATGGCCGACGTGAGTGCGGCTTCGCGGGGCGGGCGGGACGCGGGCGGTGGCTTCTGGCAGGGGTGCGGTCGGGGGATGCCGAGGTCGGGCCGGGGCTGTCCGGGCGGGCGGGCGGTGTTTCGGGGCGGGGAGGGAGCTCCGAGCGGCCGTGAGTAACGCGCTGCCCGTCTCTGCCCGCAGGACCTGAAGCGGTTCCTGTACAAGAAGCTGCCGAGGTAACGCGGGCCGTGCGGGGCGGGCACACGGGGACATGGCGAGGGCCATCCGGTGCCAGCCCTCTGCCATGGGTAGGGACACTTCCCACTAGACCAGGTTGCTCAGAGCCCTATCCAGCCTGGCCTTGAACACTTCCAGGGTGGGGTATCCACAGCCTGCCTGGGCAGCCTGTCCCAGTATCTCACCACCTCACAGTAAAAAATTTCATCCTGATAGCTAACCTGAATTTCCAGGTTTTCAATTTGTACACATTACTCCTTGTCCTGTCATTGCAGTTCCTGATGAAGAGTCGCTCTCCGGCTTCCCTGTAAACCCCCTTCAGATACTGGAAGGTTGCTATGAGGTCTCCACTCAACCTTCCCTTCTCCAGGCTGAACAGCCCCAACTTCCTCAGCCTGTCTTTGTGGGGGAGGTGCTCCAGCCCTCTTATCAACTTCATGGCTTCCTCTGGACTTGCTCCAGCAGTTCTTATTATTGGGGCCACCAGACCTGTACTAAATAGAACAAATACTGAATTAGTGAAGGCATCAGGTTTTTTCAATGTTTTCCCCTTCCTTGCACATTTGTTCACACAAAAAAACCTTTCCTACTAATTATTGTGTTTTTAAAATGGTGTCTTTTCTTTTCTTCCTTTTGTTTTTTTTTTTTTTTGCAGTGTTGAAGGTCTTCATGCTATTGTAGTCTCAGATAGAGATGGTGTGCCTGTTATCAAAGGTAACTTCAGCTTCTCACTGTGCTCTGCAGCTGAAATCCTGATTGAACAGCAGGGGGTGGAGAAGTACAGAAAAATCTTCCTGGTTATGTGAAATACCTAAATATCCCAAGTAGTAGAATTGAATTGGACTTTAAGTAAAAGTTCAGTAGTTGATTATGTACCTTTTTAAATATATCTTGTTGTTTGTGCCCTCAGTAATTGTAGTCCATGGAAGTTTTCCTGGGTGGTAGGGGTTGGAGTGCTGTAAGGTCCTTGTATCTTTAAGTCCCTCACAGGCTGATTGATGCTAAGTAGGAGAGAGAGCTTGGCAGTGTTTTGTTGGCTTTTTTAGTACTTTAGTTTTTATGTTCTGCAGCCCTTGTTTCAGATGTTCTTTCCTTGCGAGTACAATAGTTTAAGGATACAAAGATTCAAGTATTGTAGATTTATTTTGTTCAATGCCCCAGGGTATTCAAACCCCCAGCAGAATTTGCACATCTTCATCTGTATGCAATCAAGTAAGTGACTGTGTGCCAGTAATCAGTTCAAAGGCTGGAATGGGTGCAAACAGTGTGGGACACAGAACCAAAGGGACGCGAGCACAGGCTGTGCATCCTAAAGGAAGAGACTCTTTCTTAGTTATGCTAGGAGGGATGCTGGTGTATCAAGCTTTGATCATACAGAGAGCATTAAATGATGTACAGCTTGTGAAAACTGTCTGGTGTTCCTGTGGGAGCACCTCAGATCTCTTGCATGTTTCTCTGCTTTTGGCAGAGCACTAAGCTGGATGAGGGTTTGGGATGCAGTCAGAGACACCATGTCAAGATAAGGATTTTCTTGTTTTGTTCTAGTTGCCAATGATAATGCTCCAGAACATGCATTGCGACCTGGCTTTTTGTCCACATTTGCCCTTGCCACAGATCAGGGCAGTAAGTTAGGACTCTCTAAAAACAAAAGTATCATCTGCTATTACAATACATACCAGGTGAGTAACCTCAGTGTGTCCTGTCCTCAGTGACTTCAGCTGTTCCTGCATTACATTGAGCAAGAGAAAGAAGGTTGTTTAAGCTCTGGTAGATTTTCACTAGGCTGCTATTGAAGTAATTTTGGCTTATTTCTTACACAGCTTAAATGGTTAAGCCAAACTTTCACAGTATTTATTAAACTTTTGTTGTATTTCTTGAAACTTGAGATTTACTGGTTGACAGTGGGAAAGTGTAGTAATTCTGAATTTGCAGGAGGTGTTGCTCAAGTGGTCTTCTGAATCTTTTATGAAAGGTTCATATTCTCTTTTATAAACAATGTTTATAATTAGTGACACCTAACATTAATTAAAGCACATGCAGCCTAATTCATAGCTAATCTTCCTGCCAGTATGGCTTTGTGGTAAGGAAGCCTTGAAATACAGCTCACAATTTTCACAAATAAATTCATTATTTGTGTCCAGAAGTCCATCATCTACTACATTTCTGCTCCTTCATGAGTTCTGGTGGTCCTGAGATCTTTTAATTATGACTGCAGTAAACTGACCAGCTGTTAAGCCTACAGCACGTCAAGCTTTGCTTGGAAATTAAGTGGGTGAATGAGTTAGTTTGCCCACATCAGTACATTGCTTTGACTCTCTTGATGCTACTATAGCTTACTGTTGTGCCCAGGGTGCCAGTGCCCTGTTAATGGAAGAACAGATTCTTCTGTACAGGGAACAGAATTTTAAAACAATAAACCTGCCTGCCCTCCTGTTTCCTGTGGAGGGTGTGGTCTCCGTAGTGTAATCTGCAGGATCTGCAGCTGAAGTAGGGTTCTGTAGAACGTGGAGGCAGAGGGAAATGCCAGGTTTTCCATGTGCATCTCCCTGGACTGTAGTGTAAGTTGTGTTGGTGTTTTTAACTATGAATCAGACACAAGAAACAGTCACTGAAAAGTCACGTCTGTGGCTCTTGCTCCTGCTTGTCCTTTAAACCGAGGAGGCTGCTTGTTGCAGAAAAATTTATGTGTAAAGAGCCCTGACATCCAAGATGTGTTAGCTGCTGGCTGAGCACTTCTCTCTCCTTGCAGGTGGTGCAGTTCAATCGCTTACCTTTGGTAGTGAGTTTCATTGCTAGCAGCAATGCCAATACAGGTAAATCTACAAATTTGTTTTAAAGATTGCAGTATTTTAAGGCCTGGGTATTTTAATAATTGAAAATAAATTCCCTGAATTCACTTCAAGTTAACTTTGTTCCTGCTGTGAATTTAGTTAGCATATTGTGAAAGGTGAGAAGGAAAAGGTGACAGTAAAAATTCACAGAATTTAGGTGGCTTGCTGGAGTTACAATTCTTCTATAAGCAAGTTTGTCCTGTGATTAACCTTGGCCTTGCTGCATGGACAGGTACTGTGCTGTACAAGGCAGCTGTTGGCTCTCTTTCCTGTCAGTCAAGTTAACATTCTTCAGGAACACGTGCAGTTTTGTCTTTAGTTCTGTGGGGTGGGGAAATCCTTCAGCCAGACCCTAGCCTTGCTCGTGAGGACACTGGCTAATTAATATGAGCAGAAGAGATTTAATTCTCATACAGCTTCTTGGGCCACGGCAGCTATGGGAAACAGCAAGGCAGTAGTGGGGGAGAGTTGTGCCTCTTTTAGTGTCAGGGTGCCTCCTTTAGTGCCAGGGACTGTGGACACCCTGCATTGGGGTTCTGGCCACTGTTCACAGGAAAGTGAGTAGCTCACATGAAACATTTCAGGCTTTGGAAAACACTGCCTGTGACTTGGGAAGGGGAGGGAGCTGCAGGTTTTGGAGAGAGGCTTCTCAGTGATGTTGTTTGATAGCGTATTCTGTCTCTCTTTCCAGGGCTGATTGTAAGTTTGGAGAAGGAGCTCACGCCCCTGTTTGAAGAATTGAGGCAGGTTGTTGAAGTTTCTTAACCTGATGGTATTGCCAGAGTGCAGCATTCCTCTGCAGCCCAGTGGACAGAAAGATTCAATAATCGTCAGTCTAATAACACGTCTTGGAAGAAATACCACAGCTCCTTAGTATACTAAGTAAGAGTAAATTGTACATAGTACTGAATCTGAAATGATCTACCAATGTGTTGTAGGTGGATGTTACTTTAGGCCATGCTTGTATTGTGCAGTACTGGAGAGCCCACCAAAATAGCTCCCATGGAGTTTAGCTCAGCCAGCTGAGCCAGGTCGGTGCAACGCCCTTGGCTCAAAGGAGCGACCCCCAGATCTCTTGCTTTACAGGGCACCAGGCACATGGCAGGGTGAGTCCTCAGGCCGGCCACCACTAGGTTGTGGGAAAGCAGATCAGGTGGAGAGAGTGAGCAAAGATGTGGTTGGAGGCATTGTGAGAGCAAGTGTGTTAGCGGTGATGTGTCGGTACAATCAGTTAATATCCCAGCTTTCTTACACCGGGTGTACTTTGGCAAGGGAGTGCTACTAATCTGGATGCTAGCTGCATCCTGCTTCCACTAGGAAGAAAGCTGTTTCTATGGAAGCTATTGCTTTAGGGACTTTCATGATGCCTAGCTAAAAGCACCCAAACAATGTCTCACTTTTTCATGGGTTTTTTTGTGTAATATGGTTGTGAAGATCTCATGTCTCATAGTCTTTGTGTTCATCACTGGTGACACTCTCAGCTTATTTACCCTTAGGTTTTCTTAAGTAAATAAATATAAATAAAAAACAGTATTTTTAAATGACAGAGCCTGGTCCACTCTTCTGTTGCACTGTAATACCCCACAGCACATCTGCTTGTCTCTGGAGAGAAACAGGTCTCTTAATTGTTCATAAATGTCCAAAATCCATGAATTTATAGGCTGAAAACTAACCAGTGCTTCTCTCAGTTGGGCAGTAAGGATATCAAGTCCCAGGGCAGTGCAGAGATCCTGTTGCTGGGGGTCAAGCCTGTGCACTTAGCCCCACCCTGTTGTTCCCTCCCATGTCCCCTTATGACAACTGCCAAGCATTGCAGATCTGAGGGACTGCTCTGGGCAGGTCTGTGCCCCAGGCTGGGAAAGGGGATGCCATGGCCCTGTGTTCACATCTCATCAACCTTTGGTGCATCAGGCAGATGGGGGAAACAGTGGTGCTGGAAATGACAACTGGAAGTTCTTGGCTCAAAAAGAGATTACAGCTTGTCAGTCAACCCTTTTCCATTTAAACTAAGCTGGAATGGGACTTCTGTTGCTGGTCATTCCAGAAGCAGCTGGAAGGTGTGTGTATTTCTGGCAAAATGTGTTTGTGTTCCAGCACAGGCCTCCCCTTGCTGTTTGCTTCTGCTCTGCCTGTCACCCAAGGTCACTGGCTTCAGTTTGTGACATCACGTGCTGAACTTGTTTCCAGTGTTCTGTGAAGCAGCCTGTTGCTGTGAAAAAGGGAAGGCTAAGTTTGTGGTTTCTCTACAAGCTCCATTTCCAAGCAGTGTTCAAAGGACAGTGATGCTGCTGTTGTCTCACTCTCACACAAACTCGGCAAAGGTTTTTAACTAAATGGGAGATGCCATTGTTAAAGCTTCATTAAGGGAAAAAGGAGGACAAAGCTCTAACAATACAGTACAGGAATATAAAAGACCTGTGGTAGTTTTATAACGACATTTTATTCAGAAAACAGTCTGTATAAAAATATTTACAAATACTTTGAATTACTAAGTTGAAATAAAATGCTATTTATATGTCCAAATCTAGATTTTCTTACTTCTTCCAATGTGCTTTTGTCTTCCTCTTCTGCACTCCCAGTAAAGGCAATTACCAAACACCCCCTCTTTGCACACCCCTTGAGGAGGCACAGGATTGCACAGGGGATCTTGCTCAGGGCATCTTGCAACTGGTCTTGAGCCTCTCCAGTGTGTCAAACTTTGCTTCCAAAATGTAACATCTGTTTTGAGTACAGCATCAACCTCATGGGGTTGCACTTCTTGTCTCTGTAGTGAGCCACAACGCTGTTAAATGTGTGTCCTGTGGGTGCCAGGAAGCAGCTACTGTTTCTCATAACCCTGGCTGTATATGTGTGCTTACATGATGCTGCTCACCATTACCTACAGATGCTGTTTGAAACAAACATTCCCTTGTAGCCATCGCTGTGGTATAAAGATAAACCATATAAAAATTTGTTGGACCAGAACTAAGTGTCACACATCTGTCACTTTGAAAAGGGCCTTGAAATACTACTTTCTGGATTGCAATATAGATACTATTTACAAAATGTAATTCTGTCATTTTTCTTGTGGTTTAAAGCCTAAACAGATAATAAAAAGACAATGTTTCCAGAAAGGACCTCTTTTAAATAAAAGGTTCAAGGTTACAGAACAGGATACTGATCCTTTGTTGTGATGGAGCTTGCAATAAATTATTGAGTGCTCTGAATAACCACGTAAGTTTTGAACAGTGACCACTTCTGTGATTAGTTGGCAGGTGTTTGGATTAAGTGTATTACAAGCATACACCACACGTGTTAAACCCACACTCTGTTTGTACAACCGTCCCCACGTGTGACTCAGCGGCCCTAGAGCTGCAGGATCCCGTGTGTGCAGAGCTGGGTGACATCTGTGTGGGGGCACAGACAGCACTGGAGACGTGAGGCTGCCCACTGGTAAGAGGCTTCCCCTTGGAGAGAGGCCATTCCTGCCAGTGGAGCAGGAGTGCTGGCACACAGCTAGGAACTGAGGGTGGCATTGCGCTCCTCCAGCTGCTTCCGTATTTGTGACTGGAACGGAAAGACAGTCCATTACTGCTTGTCTGTGTGCACATGCATGTGGGTGAGTACAGGCAGCCCAATTCCTGGTATTTTTTAGGAAGCAGTGCTTTTAAGCCTTTTCCTTGTCTTCTCGGTCCTGCTATTGTGACCTAGGACATGCGGTCTGGGCTGATGAGCCGCATTGTTTACCAAGCACATATAATGACATCCTTAGAGATGGAAGTAATTTTTTCTTACTAATGAGCATGCCTGTTAAAAATGCACCCCAAAAACACTGAAGTGGGTTTGCAGGCAGATCCATTATTCTCCTGTGCATGGCACTGATGAGGCCACACCTTGACTGCTGTGTCCAGGTCTGGGCCACTCAGTTCAGGAAGGTGCCTGAGTCCAGAAAAGGGCAGTAGAGGGGAAGGGGCTAGATCATAAATCCTATGAGGAACAGATGATGGAGCCTGGGGGTGTTTAGCCTGGGGAAGAGGAGGCTCCGGGAAGACCTTACCACTCTGTAACTCCCTGAAAGGAGGGGGTACTCAGGTTGGTCTCTTCTCCCAGGCTGCCAGTGAGAGAACATAGCCCCAAGCTGTGCCAGGGGAGGTTTAGACTGGCATCAGGAAGAATTTCTTCACAGAAAGGTGTTGTTAGACATTGGAATGGGCTGCCCAGGAAGGTGGTGGAGTCACTGTCCCTTGGAAGTGTTTAAGAAAAGACTGGGTGTGGTGCTCAGTGCCAGGTATAGTTGACAAGGTGGTGATTAGTCAAGGGTTGGACTTGATGACCTAAGAGGTACTTTCCAACCTAATTGATTCTGTGATTCTATGATAACTGCATATTCCAATCTAGCTGGCCTGGCAGCCAGAAGAAGTACTCCCTTGTTGCAGGTGCTGAGAGCTGTAGGACTGGGGTGCCACAGTCCTGTGGGGGTTATGATGGCAGTACCAGGTGCTGCTACCTGGGATGCCGTGTAACAGCACACATCACCTTACCAGTTTCCACCGCAGGATTTTAATCCACTCGTCAGCTTCTATCCCAGTTTTTGCACACAGGTAGTATGTCCTTAGTGGGAACACTAAACTGTAAGTAAACAAAGCTTTCTTAAGTTGCTAGAACAACTGGCAGTTCTCCCCAAAACTGAGCCCAGCTGGCCTGTACCAACACTTGCTGAGACAGAGCAGGGCAGGGAGGCTGTGCTCCCGTTCAGCCACCAGGAGGGAGGTTAACCAAGAGAATGGCTGACAGTCATTTACAGTGCAGGGCCTTAAAGATAATGACCCTTCTGAGGATAAAAGACCCACATTTGGGCACCTCTAAGAAGAGGTTACCATATGACCTGTATCAGTGTCTGACCCCAAGATCCATGAGTCTAGATGATGATTATAGATGCTTATAGAATTAGAAATGCCCACTACAAATGGGTCTTTCCTTTTGGCTGGAGTAATTTGAAAAAGCCATGCAGGACTGACAGAAACTGGCTGACAGAAACGGACTTTTGAGTTAGAGGATGAGCAAGATCACAGCCACCAAGGGACCTTTCAGAAGCATGCACTGTTTACATTTCAAAATTCCCTTTCTATTTTGAATTTCCCAGCAACATGGAGAAAATCCTACAACCTACCAGAAACAATTGACTCTTTCCTGGGAATAGTCAAATTGCACAGCTGAGCATTCAGTTAAGTCAAGTGCTCGAATTGGTTCCGTAGCCTTGAAGAGAAAATGTTTTTAAAATGTGGACACATGAAAACAGAAGATAAGGCTCTCAGTTCACCTTCAGTGCATCTGGACCTTTATAGGCACCTCCACAGGTTTTTCCAGGCATAGTTACAATGGCTGCAACACTATAAACTCAAACTAGCGAGCATAACACCAGTGGTATCATGATATGAAGTGAGCTTAACATGAAAAACACAGGACAGTTCACATCTGGACAAGCAACAGAGATCTCTACTGCAGGAATGTCTGAGCTACATGGAGGCTGCTGAGGGTTTGGCTGTGTAATGTAACTGAGACAGCAGCAAATCTGGTACCACTTTCAGCTAAGCTTTACAGAGACAAAGGCATGGGTATAAGTCTTATCAGACTAGCCAGCTGTTGGAGATTTAATTAATTCCTAAATTCCTTAAAAGGATGAAGCTGGGTAAGGAGAAATGTAGAAGCAAAGCCAAAGTAGTGCCTTGCAGCAGAAATGATAGGTTTGACTGCCTGAGAAGCATCTGTGTGTCCATGTATACCCAAACACACACACACAAGTATATATAAAAGTTTCTTTGGACAAGGTCAGGTGCAGGGTCAGGTGCAACTCATCTCCCTTAGGACTTTCATTCTCCTCAGCTGTGAGAGTTCTTCCTCCATTTGTTTCAGCCTCACACTGTTAATACTTCGGAAGAGGCAGCTTAATTAATTGTTTTCTGCCCAAACACACTTAGCTGTTTACATGGTCCTCCATCGGGTATATAGAGGCGTGTGTTTCTTTGTAATCTTCCCTTAATATTTTTGCTGACTGAGTGGCTGTTAGTAATACCCTATATTAGAAGAAAGCCTCTTGTGCTGTGGTGTGATAGCAAATGCTAGGGTCGGCTGCAGGCTGCTCATGTGTAGGTACCTGCAACCCCGCAGCAACAACAGGAGTGCCAAGAGACACTGGAGCTGCTGCCAGGAAGGAGGTCATATTCCTGGCAAAGACAGAAATTCTCACCTGGTAAGTCTCTAATGGAGTGCTGCTCTCTGAAATGCTACTCTGCAAACTTAATTCAAGTTATCTTGAACCAAAATGAAAACTGATGGAAAGCCCTGCAAAAACCTATCTGTTTATAAATGGTAATGTTTGGTGAGAGAAGGCAGTTGTATCTGCTCTTGTGTAAAAAACATGAAGAGGCTTGAAATAGGGCTTGGCAGAGGTGAACAGGCTGTGTTTATGAAGGAACCTCAAACAGAGGCATTGTTAAGGCAAAGAAACTCCAGAAGTGTTTCTTATCTTTACTCAGATTAAGATAGAAATGGAGCAGAAACTGTAAGGACCCAATGTTTTTCCCAGATGCTGTAGGTTAGTTTTTGTAAGAAGGAATTTTTAAATTAATGGTTTTCTATGTATCCTGTGAGACCACTTGAAACAAAAGGATGAAATTAAAGAAGGCAAAGAATACTATGATATTTTTAGAACTATTTAGCAGCGTTACATTGTGTCTAAGCTGCAAATAACTGTTGTGTTGTGCTGGTAGCTTAAAATCATCTTAAAAAAGCAACCCAAAAATGTATTCTAGGCCAGGCTGGGCAAGGCCTGGAGAAACCTGGTCTAATGGAAGGTGTCCCTGCCTGTGTTGGAGGGCTTGGAAGGAGATGACCTTTGAGGTCCCTTCCAGCCAGAACTATTGTGAGTAAAAAAGCCCTGTAAACTCTATCCAGTAGCTAAGACTGGCAGAACACAGTCAGTGTATTCAGATGTAAAATTTACTTTCTCTTGTTGAAGTCATCAGCAGAACTGACTTTACTTGGCAGGTTTGACCCCACTGGCGGTATGGAAAACTTTAACTTGGGAAGCTGTGATGCAAATGTGAGAAGCCAGAGATACAAGGAGGCTGCAGCTGCCTGTGTGATGTTTAAACAGTAGAGCTGGTGTTTGCTACTTACTGTCTGGTCTTTGAAGTACTTAAGTTCATTCCTATGCAGTGTAAACCACCTTGTCTTCCAGCTCTGAAAGATCAAGAACAAATGGTAACTGTTTTGGGAGAGTTTAGTCTGATGCTCCTTAGGAAAGAAAACCTAAAGCTGCTGGCTTGCTCTGGTTTACAGTTTGTTGTTGCTCAAAACACAAATTGTTCCTCTCTGCAGGGAAACACAGGTGGAGCAATTTCAGCTCCACATCATCTTTAGCTTCTGTGGGCGATCACAGAGTGGAAGCAACAGGAGTTTTCCTTACCTTGACTATTTTGCCTTGTTTAATCAAATATCCTTCCTTGGTACCAAGCTGTGAAGTAACAAAGGAAGGGATTGGGGTTAGATGCTGAGCTCTGCTTCTATTTCCCACATCCCCCTCTTTGCCTACATCAGGAGGATAGATCAGTCCTTTGGGAAACTCCCCATAGCCACTTGCCCTCACTTCAGTGCTCCCCTTGGGCCCATCCAGCCATCAAAGATGGAGCTGTGCTGGCTCTGAAGGCAGCCCCCTGGACTGTGCCTCCCCCAGGGATCTTCTGGCCTGCACCTTCTCAGCCAAACACAGCAAAAAAGCTGCAGCGAAACTTTATTTATTTAGTTGGATGGTTGCCTTGGTACGTGCTGTGAACAGAAGCACACAGGGTTTAACTGACAGTGGAATTATCCCCAGAAAATGCTCCTTGAATGCAAACAGGGGAAAGTGCTGTTTCACTGAGCTGTTCTTTTCTCTCAACCAGGCCCACCCTTGAGAGGAAAAATCTGTTATGTTCAATGTGCTTCTTAAAAAAATTGGGGTTTGAACTGTTTCTCTGGCGTCCCGAGTGACACTTGGACCTTATGACTTCTTAGGCACTGACACTGTGTAGGGACCTGTCTGTGAGACTGCAGATCTCTGAAAATCAAAATCTTGCTAAGCTGCCACTTGAAAAAATATTACCTTTTATTGGTGGTATGTGGAAGTCAAGCTTCTTTGGAGGTTAAAATGTAGCTCAGTGATGAAAGGTTTATTGTGAGACACATCAGAAGTGGTTCCAGCAACTTCATTAGTCCATATTAACATAACTCCTCCTTTTTCCCCAAAAGGTACAGTATATAATTAACTTTCCTCTCTGTTCAGAGCAAACTGTTCTGGAGAAATCAGCTGTCTCACTTAGGTATGAGTTACAAGGGATTTAGAGACTCTAATTGCTGTTCAAGTGAATCTCAAATGTCAGAATAGGTGGCCCAAATGTATATGATGATTTTTTTTCTGTGTGCATTTATTGTTTTTTTTTAAAACTCATAATAATGTTAATAATGATAAATTATTCTAAAAGATAAAATGAGAATGAAAATATTTCATATATTCTTTGTTTGGGTAGTCAGACTCACCCAAGTCAGCTGCAGACAATGTTTTCCCAGGGACAGCACTGAAGTGACAACAATTGTAAGAGCCTTTACTTGCCATGGAACTGCAGGGAGCAAGTCTGTATTTGCTTTTCCCTGTTTGGCAAAGACTTCTTGTGTTTGCAAACCCATAAGGGGATTAATAACCAGTCTTACTCCATAGCTCACTCCAGCATCATGCCAGACTCGGGCCAGAAGCACCCTTCCCACCAGAACACAACTTACTGAGGGAGCATTTGGGACAAGGTCACTTTCTGTCCTTCCTGTCTGCATTGCAGTGTGAACACGGACAGACTCATAAATGGAAGGTTCTTCCACTTGCCGTGGGTAGGGATGCTTCAATACAATTAAGGTTCCTGGAGAGAAAAGAGCAGGAGTAATCCATCTGGAAAGTCCAGCTTAGAAAATAACTTGTCAGTCGCTACATCTCTGAGGAATGGTTAATTTCACCTTTTCTTAAAATTAAAACCTGTAAATATATGGCACCTTTTCAAAACTTTTACCCTTGCAAATGCTTGCATGAAATCTCTTGACTCATTAAATTCCTTTCCTGCCCAAGAGGCTGGGTTGGAGTATATAGCCAGGATGCTAAACTAGACAGGAGGCCATAAGAGTCATTGAGTTTGCCAACATCCCACTAGGTAGTGCTTAAATCACTTAATCTGTCGGAGCTTTGGCTACAGGTTTCCTAACAGTAAACCCACATTACCATCACCTTCAATTGTTTTTACCACAGCTCTTCCCAGTTAAACCTTTTCATTATAGCCATTCTTCCTTTTCTCCAAGTAAGGTCATGTTTATTGCATGTTCCCTGAAAAAAGCTGCACTCTCAACAGTGAACCTATTGTACTTTTCAAAATAGTGAAGAACGTCCTTAAAAGAGTAACTGCTCTTCCATCTAACTCCATTCTTTAAAAATAATGTCACAGCACACCAAATGCTGCTCCATTTGCATTTCATGCTGATATTGCAGCTCTTAAAGAGGAGGGATGCTAGAACTGGTAACAAGTTGGACTTTAAACCTGCAGATGTATGAGTAATTTATAAGTGTTCTGTAATGGGAAGGGCTAAAAAGAGAAGTGGAAAAGTTGCATTTGAAGTAACCAGCTGAAATCTGTTTGCAGACACAGGGCGTGTATGCAAATGTGATCTATTCAACTTGCCACAGGTGGAAAGTAACATTGGTTTAATTCTATCTGGCCTTGCAGAAAAAATATGCTTTACCACTTAAAATAAAATTGAGAACAGGTCCATCACCATTCCAGAAAAAGTACTCCTAAGCTGTTGCAGACAATCAGGGTATCATCATCTGTACACATGGATACAAAAACGGATAAAAATGGATACAAAAATGCATCCCATTGCAGAACTGGAAGGACTAATATAACATTTCATACAGTATTTGTTTTCTAGTAAGTTCTCTGTGGATTTCTTTTTCCTCCTCAAAGACAATTGTAGAGAATAGTCTGGCAATTATACACAAGATCTAGCAAAAGCTGCACTGTAGCAAAATTATTCTGCTGCATCTGCTTGGATTGGAGTTGATTCTGATGAGTCCCCTACCCCATTTTTAACAAAAGATGGTTATGACTCAGGAGAAAACTGGCACCTGTATCTGAAGAAGTATTGCCTGAGTGTTAATTCTCTCCTCCTCTCTACTGTTTTCCATGGTATGGTAAGGTGGAAGGTTTCTTGATATGAGGTTATATATATATATATATACATATATATATATTGTATTCTGTAGCACATTTGACTTAGATTTTTCACACACACAGTAGAATCTGATTAGGAAACTTTAAGATGGCAAGTCTTGATCCCATCCATAGAGATCAGATAAAACCAATGTCTTGTTTATTAATATCTTCACCTGTAGTGAAGGAGTGAGGAATGGGGAAATACAAGTTTTATGTCATCTGAAATCTTTACGGAGATTTCATGTGGGTGAATATGCCTGTGGGTGCATGCCTGATTTCCCAGGAAAAGTAGCTCACTGGCACAGAGGATATATGTAGGAGCTCTGTGTTTGAACCAGTTTTGAAAGCAATTTAAAAGGAGAGTATTTTGAAAAATACAAGTGCCATATTGAGTCTACAGCTGCATTTTTCTTGGGGGAAGAAATTGGCAAATGAGCCCTTGAATTTAATGTTAGTGTTCGCAGAGCACTGGTGCAAATTTAGTGTGTGACATGTTAGAGTTATTGCATGTGCCAGCTATCACTTAACTGGGCTCTTGCATATATAATTACTACTGCTCTGAGTTATTTGCATACACTTGCCACAGAGGATACAGAAGCTTTTGGCATTAATTTGTACTAACATGTCTTCAATCAATCAAGTCTTCTTACACTTGAAGCTAAACATAAAACTGACATTATTGTGATCATATCCACTTTGTTTCTTCAGGGATTCTAGTCTGATGGTGTTCAATCCACATGTAGGAATCAAGTTTAATATTTTGACCCTTAATTCAGGCAGCACACTGGTTGTTAAAGAAACTTGTGCTTTTTCTCTCTCCTCTTAAAAGCGAGGAAAATCACTGTGATGGCAGATGGCACCAGCATGGTGATGCACTGCAGGCAGAACAGGAGAGCTAGTTAAAAACACATTCCCTACAGGAAAGAGGAGCATAACACTGTAGACTCCTTCCTTGGACAAAGAATAGTGAGACGAAACAATTTCAAGTTGCTTTTCCACTTATTCTTATTGGGGGATTTCAGCTTCATAGATGCATATTTATTTCCTCACTAACACCGTGCTTTGGTTTTGCCATTTTTGAGAACGTTCCAATCCTCCTGGTATTTTGAAATGCTTCCTCCTCTGAGAAATTGAAAGGAGCTCACAGCCCTGGATAGCAAAAGCTCAATAAGCTTATGTGTGGTTTATCTTCAAAGACCTTGAAAGATTTTTTTGAAGTGGAACTTTTTTAGACACAAATACAGACGTGAAATTATGAACACTTTAGCAGAAGGTCTATTTGCTAACATATCAGAAGCTCCTTTTAGTTAGATCTTTGTAAAGCACAGCTACAAATGAGTTCATACACACAATATGGCTCTCCTTACCTGTTTCACTTCCAATTAAAGGCTGGTTTGCAAAATGCATGACCAATTCCTTCAAGCTAGAAAATTCATTAAATCCAAATCTGAATGAAGTTCCTGTACATTCAACATGGAAGTGTTTCACAGAATCTTTTCCCCTAAAATAGAAGAGGAAAATTTGTCAAGATGTAAATGCCAAAGGCATTTGGCACTTACAATCCTTAAATAGCAGCTTTCACTGCAGGGAATCTGACCCAGATCACAGGCAGACAATCACTGTCCTAGGAGTAATACTACTGCCATTACTGTCCCTCACTAATACTCTACACATCTGAAAATCAGATTTTAATTGCTGATTAAGAGATATAAGACGATGGAAGCCTAGAAAGACCAAGTTGGTTAATTTAACTCTTACATCAGCAAAAAGACTCACAAAAGAGATTTCAAGCCTTCTGCCTAAATAGGATTAAACCCCTTCACTTACTGGACTTTAGTCTTGATGGTGCACTCAGTATCTATCTTGCTTTTCAAGTAGCATCCCAATCTCATTGAAAACATCTTCTGTTTCCCTTTCAAAAAAAAGGCAGTTTCCATTTTGCACCCAAGCAGGGGTTTAGTAACCTTTTCTAAAATACCTAGGGCTTTAGGGTTTGTTTGCTTTGTCTCTATACTTGGATGATTGGTTCCACTAGGATGGGCACTGACAAACATGAACCAGAGTCCTTGTTCTGAAAGGGAAGTAACAGCTTTTGTTTATGAAACCTGATGGCATTTAGAGAAGTGTGCAAGATCTCACTTCCTGGGTAGGCAATTATTTTGCATTCAGAAGACAGTGAAGCACTTATTTCAAGTATTTCTCCAGTGAAAAAGTTACTTTTGTTAATGTTACTAGCACCCAAAATAGTTGAGTAAACTTTGTCTGAGGAAAAACTTAACTAGCAAATATACTGAAAAAACGTGATGAAGAAAATTAATTATAGCTTCTCTTTCATTGTTTATTGCCACTTCCAAAGAAGATTATGATTTCAAACAGGTATTTAAATATTTATCTTTGAACAGTATTTATGAAACTGTAGAAGATGACTCTATGGGCATCCCACGTGTTTTGTGCTACAGTCAGCAGGGGCACAACAAGACAAGTGCAAATGCTCCACGCAAGGGAAGAGCTGCTGTGACTCTGCTGCAGTTACAGGGTTTTCCATCTTTTTGTTTAATTTCTCAAGATGATGTTGCAATGAGACCAAATTCTACTCTGCTTCCTACTTCCTTTTCAAACTGATGTAGCCGGGGGAGGGGATTTCAGGCAATATGTGATCTCTCTTCCTACAGCTGTCAGTAAAAACCTCAAGGGATGGCTAAGCATTTTTTCCTTGAAAAACCCCAAAATATAATCATGACCGAAGTTCCTTATGAGGCTAAAGCAGAAAATAACGTAAAAGCTACAGAAGATATTTTAGGACAGAAGGAAAATGACAGCTAGAATTGCTGAAATTATCCATTCTACAGGAATGTATCAGAACAAAATTGAATTACTTATTCTAAAATTAAGTTTTAATTTTAGTCAAAAAACTGAAAGAAAATGTAAAATTAACCAGTAGAAAAACTGTAAAACATTTTAAAATCAAAATCAGTATTCAAAGGAGATGCACCAGCAGAAACAACAGAAGCTAACAGAACAGAATGAAAGATCAAACTTCAGACTGGGCTGTTCAGTTCATATGGTAATGCAGTAAGTAATTCTCACTACATGAAGAGCTAAGCAAGAGATTGGAATGGGCCTGAAATAGACATGTGTAGGTCTTCTAATGCTAAAATCCATTCAAGCAGAAAATTTATTTTCATTAACTAACATTTCTGTTTCCTATTAAAATAACTATTTAAATTTTGGTTTATCATAATAAGTTGTTTCCTGAATGCTATTTAAGACTACCTTCAAGATACATATATATAAAATATATTTAATTGTCTGAGGTAGTTATCTCAAATAATGCTTAACATTTTGAAGTAAAAAAAAAACAAAACAGAAAAACAATGATTAATTTAAAATTACTTTTTTTAAAGGACTTATAAATGTCATTATTCTTTTTGACAACACTTGCATTCATTTCAGTCATTGCTACTCTGAATACTCATTTTGTAAAGTCACCTTCAGATCTGTTGGGCACCTTGTGTATAACTGGCTGCCTGTAGTGGTAATAATTTCAACAGTGTGTGTATAGACACGCTTGCTCCTAGGTCTTCTGTCAGAAATGGGTGAAACACCTCATCATGTCTAATGCATGTGTCCTTAGGCTGCCTCACTAAAATGTCGTAGCTTTTCTCCTTCTGGGAGATTCTTTAAATGTGATTCAGCAGTGAAGTAACCAGGCCAGGCTACCTCTGCTCTGTATTGGTTGTATCCTGAACAGTTGTGTCCTGAATTGCTGTAATTGACTTCAAGGCCCTGACATCAATCCCTCACAAGATGCTATTCAATTTAGCCACGTGGACTTGGCTAAGACTGAACCTTAGCACAGAACAGAGGAGTGAAACCAGCCAGTCAAACATTGGATCATCCTTCAGAGATGATGGTTCCTATACAGGGATTCAGAAGCTAGTAAGGTTAGCATCTGTTAAATGTTTGCTGCTGTCTTCATCTTAAAACTTTTCGACTCCTGCCAGCTGTTTCTTAAGCTCTTTTAACTGACATGCAGATTTTTATCACTCAGACTGAAAATTTACAGCCATTCTATAGAATTGTTTTCTACCAATAAGATTAATTCATAAATTGGAAAAATGAGAGCAGTTGTCAAATCCAATCCAATGTTTTCCTCTAGAAAAATGTCATTCAGTGGGATTATACCAATAGGAATATATTTCAAAATGGTTTAAACCCTAGGGAAAAAAACCCACCTTGTAATGCATGGGACATTCAAACATGGAAGTAAGTGCAGCATTAGATTAGTTCACATAGCCTACCTTACAGAGAGGGAGTACAGATCTTCCCTTTCATTGCTCTTCCTCAAAAGATAGCTCCCATCCTTCCCATTGGAGAGCAGCAGCGCTTCTGCTGCGTGTCGGGTGAGATTGTCATGGTACCACCTGGGGAGACAAAAGGGGTTAAAGCATTCTTCACTCTGCCCTAAACTGGCTGCTGCTGCTGCTTTTTGGAGCAGGGTTAATTCCTCTACAGTTTTGAGTTACTCCCTTTCTCACAGGCACCCACAGCTTAGACAGATCTGTGCCCCTGGCAGTGGCCTCCTTTTGACAGTGTCAAGAAACTGTTTTTTGTTAACGCAAAGTTGTGTACAAACAGCTGACTGTTTCACTGGATATAAAAACTCTGCAGTTTCTCCTTGCACAAGCAACAAATTACCCAGGTCTGTGCTGATAAGGTGAAAGCAGTTTTGGGGGGTATACAGAATCCCTTGTCTATTTTCAGAAGCGGACATAGGTACATTCTTTGGTACACTTCTTCTGGACAAACAGGCAGCACTTAAACTCCTCATAAACTCCCTATTTCCCTCAACACATCTTCACTGACAAGTTCTGCAATTAAACCTGCTTGCCTAAGCTTATAATTAAAGGGATCAAAATTAACTCACAGAATTTCAGTGAAAATTAAGAAATTTTGCTATTCTTGTCTCTCAGCCAGGTGTGATCTGAGCAACAAAGGAAAACATCTAAACACTGTTTCAATTTATCTTCAGTGAAAATTAACTTCATTTTTATATGAA